TGTTTATGTTGAATTAAATCAAGATATATATCTTTTATATATTTGTTTTTATAATAATCTTTTTTTTTTGACGTTATACTATATTAACATGCCAAAAAAAGAAAGAAAGAAAAAAGAAACCAATCAACCAACAAAAGTCAATGATATCGACAATGAAGGCACTAAGTAACACCTATAAAATCCGCAGCAAGATTCGGAATTTCGGATGCATTTACATGTAAGTAATAACATCTATAATAAATTGTATACTATGAGGGTGCAAAAATCACATGTTATACTCGCAACTTTTCTATTGGCCTTTAGTTGCTAAGAAGCAATCCTACATTTCCCATAATTATTAGATCATGCAGCGTGTTGTTTTGTTTTCTATAGCCCTCATAACCATAGAGCCAAATATAAGATTCAGCATCAAAGGAGGAGACTCGGAACGCCAATACTCTCCACTTATCTCACAGTGCACCTAGAAGACACGGCTGAACCGCTCAATTTCTAAAGAAGAAGATGTTAACCCTCAGAAACATTTGTTTGCTGAGGAATGAATATTCTAAATGATGTTTTTTTGGGCCATAGTTTTATGACATTCCATTAACAGACATGTCAGAAAATTTCACATATGCACAGTAAGACCCTTTCTAAAAGAAATTATACTCCAGGTTTCTTTATAAAATTTGCAAAGAATTTATTATTATTATTTTAAACACGCCCTTCATAATCATAACCTTCAAATCACACGAGACTAATTATTATGGTAATGAAATTTTAAAGACTTAATTAATAAATATTTAATTTTAAGGACCAAATTGATAATTAAGTCAAATTTAAAGGATCAAAATTTTTATTATTATTTTAAATTTTTTAATAAAGAATAATGTTAGAATTTTGACAATTTCTAGCAACATCAACTAAGTTGCCTGAGTGTTTTGTAATGGCTCCTATCATTAATTTCAATTAACTCAACTAACTAACAACCCTTAATTGTAATAATCAATGATCGCTCCCGCAAGTGTATGAGATAATAGTAATAAATTATTTAGAATATTTCAGGTGTCGAACCTACAGGAAAGTTACACTTTTATTAATTTAAATAATTAATATTTTAAGAAAAATACATAAAATGGATAAATTTGATAAAAATATAAGGAATAAAAATAAATCAAGAAAACAATGATGATAAAAATGCAATCATTTGAAGCGTTGGAGTTTAGGATTCACCCTATAGGTTGCTAATTTCTACCCTTTGAGTTGACTCAAATCAATTATAGTGACAAATATTCCTAAAGTGTCCTAATATTCTTTCGAATTATTAGTTCCTTTTTAATTAGTGTTGAATTCACTCCCACGATACCCAAACAATTAATTAAATCGTGAAGCTGTAGTTTAAGTCACCATAAATTTCTAAAACTATTCCTAGCCTAGTTATTATATTTATTTCTCTAAATCTAGGTTCTCTCTTCACCACCCAGTCCATCAAGATCACCCATAAATTTGATTAAATGGTGGTCAGTCATTAAATCAATATAAAGAACAAGAAAAATAAATATAATTAAAAAAAGCAAAAATATTCATAAATATAAATGTAAAGAATCAAAATAAAGAAAATAGAAAACTAACTCCTCAATTGAACTACATCCTTATCCCAATTGGATAATTTAGAAACACATAATAAAATTAAATAAAACTGTTCTAAAATTCCCAATCATAAAAAATAATCACAGAGAAAATTAAGAAGTAGAAGAGAAATAATTATAATTTGTGAATAACTCCTCAATGATCTCGCTTTCAGCCTTCAAAATGCTTCTACGAGCTTCAAAAATGTCAAAGAGAATTTTTGAGGTACTTAGATAAGTGCTTGCATACCTTCCCTCTTGATGGAAAGAGTATTTATAGTTAAAGTGGAGGATCCTTCTTTTGTTCCTTATCGATGTGGGACTTTGATATATATATATATATATATATATATATTTCTCTTTTCTTTCTTTCTTTCTATTTGGTTTATTCTTTTTCTTTGCAAAATATAAAGATAAAAAGATATAGATAAAAAGATATGAGTGAATTTTGTATTAAAATTTCTTTTTATCTTATAATTAAGTGATGAGGAAAAAATATATAAATATCAATTAAATAGATATAAAATCTTAATAAATATAATTAAATTTAAACTAAAATTTATACCTATTTAATTATAAAATATGCACTTATCAATCAACCTTGGCTAAATTAAAATATTTATTTCCTAAAAAAACTAAAAGATTGGAATCTCAAAACTCATTTTATATAAGATAGTGGAATTAAATCATACAAGAATAGTATTTTAAATCATGCGGAAATATGAAATATAAAACTTTGAGAAGGAAAGATAAAGGGCAAAGCAGTAATTAAATTCTATATAGGGTCTAATGGACCTAAAGGTCATCCAATTTCCCAATTTCATCCAATTAAGATTTAGATTAATTAACTTAACTCCATAATTAACTTTGGTTAGTCTTATTTAAATTTTAGGATGTTACCTATTTGGCTATGAAAGAAAGCCTTCTTAGTGTTAAGAGATTTACCTTTGAGAAGGTATGTTTAGAGACGGACTATAAAGTACTATCCACAGCTAATTTGTAAAATATTTTTTAATATAATCATAAATATTAATAAATTTTATTAAATATATTTTACAGTCTTACTTTTTTAAATAGAAATATAAAGTTTCAAAAATGTATTTCACTTAATATTTCATTTTCGAAAGAATGTTAAAGAGAGAGAATATAATAGGAAAGATAATATCAGGAAAACATCATTAATAAAACCTTATTTTTATCATAGTGTGTCTTATATTTTAAGACACCAAATCTCTCATAAAAGTATCCTATCATAGGGTGTATGATAACTAGTGAAGTTGTTGCAATATGTGACAGTGCAGGGATCTTATTGAATACTCCCTCTAAACTGCAACATATGACATCTTATATAAGCTTTGCTTAGTCTAACATATAATGTTTTAGGTAACTTTTATAATTGATTGTTCAACTACACCCTAACTTTTTTTATTACTCTTTTTGAAAAAAATGATGCATTAAAATTTTAATTATTATTATCAAAACATGTATATAGGGTATTATATATGGTATTTAATATGGATAAAATTAAAAAGGTGTAGATTTTTTTTTCAAGAAATTAAGGTTTCAAATTGTGGGCTCAATTTTGGTGAAGGAGTCAAAGCATCATGACCCTTTAGTTGTTTGAGTGTGCCAAGCATGTTAAAGGAGTACGTTCTCAAAAGAGTAAGTTGCAATAGACAATTGAAAGGGTTCTCGAGAGCCTTTATCATAATTTTCTTAAAGAGTTAAGTTACTTGCGAGAGCAATGGTGGCAAGTACATAAGAATGAGGTGCTTTGTAAGAACAAAGAAGTAAATAGGCTTGGAAAACTAACCTAAAGGCAGAGTTTACATAGAAAGGGTAGGTCACACAAAGCAAGGTTGAAGACAATGTAGATTTGAATAGTTTGCGTTGGGCAGGTATGAATACATTTGGCAAAATATTAAGAGACCTTTTATTATGCATTCATTACTTATTTATAACAAATGGCAACTGTGTGCTCCCATTTGAAGTTGGCTCTTGGCGCCAATGAGAGCATATAATTGTTTGTGCCTTTAACTGCTTGAAGGTTCTCTATTGTGTGATGTGGTGAGCAAAGGTGTGTTGAGATTCTCAAGTAATAGGAGGAGTGTGCATGACTCGATTAGCTTTCCCTAAAACACATCATTTTACTCATCTTTGTCTAGCTAGACCACATTTAGGCCAAACTCCCTTTCTACTTGTTTGGGCATCGAGGATCTTTCGGTTTTGGGCTCGACGCTTTGGATTTGGTACAAACATAAATAATATTTTTTGAGAATTGTAAATTAGTTAATAACATATTATATTTTGGTTTGGAGGGAGTAACTCCTTGGAATAAAGATACCAACTTTAAATGTGGTCTTTTTCTTGGTTAGTTGACAAGGAAATAATGTTGTTGCAAAGGAGATGCACCTTAAGGAGTGATTATTGACAACTTCACCTCTTTTAATTGAGTTTTTGATAGCCGATTTAATTTGTTTTAGGAGGAAGAATAAGCTTGTAGGCAGGAATCTAGATATGAGGATTGACTCTCATATTATACTCCATTTGAATCATAATACAAGTCATTTTTTAAAAGTTTTATTGTTCAAAAATATAGAGCATTGTGTATGTTTTATATATATATATATATATATATATATTTTTCAACTACATCCTTACTTTTGATTCAAGAATTTTAAATGAGCTGGATCTCAAAATTCACCAAATTCAAATATATGTGCTTCTATGCTAAAAAAGCATTTATAAAGATATTTATAAATTACTTATCAATATTTGATGTCACCCTTATTTTATTAAGTAAGTAATGAGAGTGTTTTGAATAAGTAAAATGTTATATTTATCAAATTCAATTACAGAATTGGAAAGATGTAAAAACTTTTAAAAAATTAACATTTTAACTAACTCTTTTTTACAAACATAAATTAGTTTACAATAACAAAGGGGAATTGTAGTTTTTTGTCTTTATTGTTTTTGTACGATGGATTCTAGGTTTATGTTCTTTCTTTTACTTTGTCGAGTCATAATAGTGAGTGTACTGTAATGTCTTTTAATATTAATAAAATGGACTTTTTTTTTTTTTAAAAAAGCTGGTTAGCCCAAAAAACATGACATCAACTAATTTTAATTATTTTTTTAATAAATCGGTCAGTATCGAAGTATTGAGAGGAGTATTAAATTGTCAGACCATGGATCGATCATATTTTTTTAATTTGGAGAATTAATTAATTGTAATCAAGAACATGACTGTCTTCACTCTTCAGTTTATCCAATCAGCACTCTTTTATCCGCTGAACTCCTATCCTAAACGTGGACCCGACGATGACGTGGATAGCCGCACCGAAACACTTATTAGTAGCTGGAAAGAGTCCGAACTGGATGAATCTGCCCCCGCCCCGCTTCTCTCTCCCCACTTTGGTTCATTTGTGCCTTTTGTCTTTTTTTCTTCGTTTCCATGATCCCACCAAAACCATGTGCCACGACTTTCCTCTGAATCTCTCTGCTTCTTCTTCCTGAAACACTCACTCTTCTAATCAAATCTATTCATAAAAGTTGTTGATTGTGCTCTTTGCTTTTCCTTTTTGGCGCTAATGGCGATCGAGGAGGACCTTGAGAGCTGTGGAAGCAGAGCCTGTGTACAGTCACCGCAAGCTCATCCTCGTCAACACAGGAAGAAATTGGAGGTGTACAATGAGGTGCTTCGTCGAACTCAAGAGTCAAATTATGAGGAGGCCAATGTTCCAGGGTTTGATGACCAGCTTTGGCTTCATTTCAATCGTCTTCCTGCTAGGTATTTGTTATTCTGTTTAATCTCATCGTCTTTCTCTTCCTTTTTAAAATCGAGTTCTGTCTTTGTTTATATGTGATGGTTCCATCCACGACAACACATTTTTTAACCAGGAATCTACGAATAATTATTTTGTGTTAATCACGATTTTCTTAGCGCATCACGGTTTTTTTATTCGCACTTCATGGCTAGTGAAAGAAGTGTGAATACAACCAATTGTTTTTTCCTTGTTCGTTTTCTTTACCCTTTTAAGTTGAATTGTCAGGGCCATTTTTCGGGTTCTTTGATTTATTCAAATTGTTTGCTTTCACACAGGTACGCGTTGGACGTGAATGTGGAGAGGGCGGAAGATGTCCTTAGTCACAAGAGATTGCTGAAGTTGGCAGAGGACCCCGCTAAGCGTCCTGTATTTCAAGTTCGATCAGTGCAGGTGAAAACTAAAAGAATTTGCTTTCATTTTAGTATTGTTTTCTTTAAGCTACGTCATACGTTCATAATGATATGAAGTCTGAATTCTCATGTCACATGCTTTGTTATTTTGGTACAAGGATCCTGAAGTTTTATAGTTACTGTTGTCGTAATTCAAGGTTGTTGAGGAAGCACAGAACTGATCTTTCTTTCCTTAACTGCTCCATTAGGTTTTAAACATTTATCAGAAGGAATGTCATTTGTTTATTTTTCCTTTACTATCTTCAGTATTGGAGGGAAAATTAACGAGGGGGAATTTTTTTACCATTAATTTTTGGTGAAGCAGTATTGACTACTCCTGCCTGAATATTACTATATGTAGAGCTGTGTGCATACTAATCATTTTTATCTCACAAATATCTTCATTGCAGGTATATCCTTATGGATGTGCTTATTTTGCTGACTCAACACATTCTGATCCTTCTGAGAAAGAAGATGCGCAGAGTTCTTTTAACTATTCTTTTAAGCAGGGGTATGGCCTATATGTGGTTGTTTTGATTATACTTTTCATCTTTTCTGCTGTACCAAGAGCAGAGTAAATCACAATCTTTTTCCTTCATATAGTGCTTGTCCAACATTAAATGATTTTTATGTCTTCTCTGGTCTTTCTCTTGGGAAAGTAGAGTTCATCCACCACCTACTTTTGGTTCATCTTCTAATCTTGAAGCTCTCTCCCGCCAAGCATGTAAGAATAAGGCTGAAGACAGGGACGAAGATATGGATTTGACACCATGCTTTTACAAGTAAGCATTTTGATAAATTCATTACTCTAGATTCTCAGTCTTGTATAACTGTTGTGGAATGACTTCCTCTTTCCTCTTTTATTCTTATTTATGTGCCTAAATTGGTGTTGTGGGAATGTTTTATATTTATCTTATCAAGTAGATCATGAATTTTATTTTGTAACCTATATAAATTCTGCCTATGTTTATAGCTGATCCCAAACCTACGTAAAGGAGGAGGGTTGTGTTAAGTCCTTAACAACCAATATAAAACTTTGTTGAATCTCATTTGGATATGGACGATAAACTTATATTTATGATTGGGTCAAACCTCTTGCAATCTGAAAATGATACCTTCTAAGTGCAAGTGTCTATTTGTGTTCTCTGTCCAACTCTTTGATGTGCAGGGTGAAGGGAAGATAATTACGTCAATTGTATTAATTTTATTTAGTTGTAGTTGGGGCAATAGGGTTGAATTAGGAATTGAGAATTTGGTCATTGAGGTCCTAGGATATCTTATTCCTAGGTTGTCTTTCTTGTCCTAGTAAAATTAGGTTAGTTCAGTTGCCAATGCAAGTCATTTTATCTTGTATTATAGATTTCCAGTCTTGCTACTGAACTTGATTGAAAAAACTAACAGAACTCTTCTAGAGTCCCCAACAACATCCCCCCCCCCCCCGGGTCCAGCGGGAGAAAAAAAATTATTGATTTGGCTCCCTCACAATTCTACATACGAGAGAGTGGAGGAGCAAGAGGGAAGAATGATTTGTTCATAGATGCCTTTCCATGAACAAGTGATCATTCCTGATATGTGGAGTCATTGAAAGAGAAAAATTTATATAACAAATTCTTTTATGTATGATCTCTGTCAAGATCCTGGGTGCAAGTGCAAATTTACACACACTAGATGATAGAAGCTTTCATCTCAATTTATTACTTTCTAATTTCTTCTGGCTCATAGCAGTTTATTGATTTTTCCCCTCTTTAATGTTTAAATTGCTACCCAGTGTTAATCTGGCCACTTACTAACTTTTAGGCCCATGCACGAGATTACCTTTTCAACTGTTGACAAGCCCAAAGTCCTTAGTCAGGTAATGGATTCTTTTTCTGTTGAGAAAAAATTGTGATCTCTTTACAATGATGTTTTAGTAACTATTGGATGAGAAATAGTTACTTAATCCTTTTTTTTTTAAAAGCATTCAGCATTAAATGCTGTCACTTTTCTGTGCACCTAGTTTGGTTAGATAATTTCTAGACACATTGTTTATGTCATGCAAGAAAAGAATCTGACCTATCTTTGCCTTTTGCATCAGCTGATGACATATTTCATGCTATCAACTACAAATGCTACCAAATGTAGACATTGCAAAACCAGCTGTTCGAAGTTTTCTTTGAAAAGTGTCACAACTTTCCTGAGTATTCATATAACATGTCTTGCACAAATAGACCATGTATGATGGTACAAATCCTTGAAATGATTTCTCTTGCCTTAAAAAAAAAAACACTTTTGAGGATCATTATGGTGTTATTTCTTCACATTTATACAAAATTGTGAAATTAATACCTAAGTAAATTAAGTTCTTTTTAAAAATATGCCTTATTGTCTGCTATAAAAGGTTGAATTAGGGGGGCTTTATTTCAATCTCTTTTCATCTTTCTTTCTTTCTTTTTTCTTTCGTTTAGAAAAAGAAATTCTAATTTCAGGCCTATAATCATGTTGTATTTAATAACTTTTGAGGAGTAAATAGGTCAATTATTCATTACAAAAAGCTGCAAAAGTTTTGGTTTATTTAAATTATAAGATAGAACTTTGTGTTTCACTTTGTATGCTTTTTCTCCCCTTTTATTGGTAATCTGATTTCTTTTAAAATTGAAATGCCAGTTAACTTCATTACTTGGGGAAATGGGACTGAACATTCAAGAAGCTCATGCATTTTCCACCAAAGATGGGTTTTCTCTTGATGTCTTTGTTGTCGTGGGGTGGCCAAACGAGGTAAGGAAAAATGTGGCAAACTTTAAATGATGAAATTTCTTATGTGTTGTTTGGAGAACAGACAGATGTCACCTATGTTGATAGATATCACCTGTATCATCAACATCTTGCTAAGGGTGCAGGTTGCATTTTTCAGATTATAGAGAACATAGGAGTTAAGCTTTTATGTTCTATATTTCTCATCTCTTCAAGGAATACTTTCTTGTCTGTTCCTGTAGTTAATATATGACTGCTTACACATTCTCCCACATTTTGTACGAGTGACAATGTATATTGCATTAGTATCGTCATGGCATGCTATGACTTCTGAAAAAAAAAATGGTGTATTCCTTACATTTCTTACATTTTCTGGCTTCATTTTGGTGCATTCCTGAGTGATTTTTTTTTTTGGAGAAAAATAAGTTAGGAAAATGAGATAATTCAGGTATTTATTTTAAAGTTTTCCACATGGATGGATACTTAAATAGTGCTCTAAAAATGGTGTATCCATATTCAAGCACAAGAAAATTCCTCAATATAGTTGTCCTTATGCAATCGTTTTATCTCTAGCTGTGAATGGCTGTGCTAAAGTAGGTAATGTTTTTTTTTTTTTTTAATAAAGCATTTATTAATGATAAATATTTAGTTTCCAGAAAACATAAAAATAATTGTAGCAATGAATGTTTTACAAAACTTTGAAGGAAATAAGTTTTTTGGTTGATATCAAATATGACATGCATAGCAGTTGAGGTTACTTCATGTCTGGGATCTTAATTTGATTTCTTCTTCCTTTTCTATATCCTTGTGTGCAGGCTTATTCCAACCCATTTGGTTGTTACTTATTACATAGATGGATTTAAATTTCAAATCTCTTGCATTGCTCTTCAAATTGATTGATTTATATTATTGACTTATTGAAGTTGATCATATGATTAGTGCATCTCGTTTGTATTAAGTTAGGTACTCATTGCATCATCAATCTTCCTGTTACTGAAACTCATCTAAATTTCAAAATTTTAAATTGCTTCTCCAATTGACTACTATATATTTTTGTAGTTATTAAAGTTGTTCACATGATGAGTCTTTTTCTTTTATTTTTTATTACAACGATTACTTTTGTTATAGCCAATGTTTGGTTTTGTCCCCTCCCCCCCAAAAAAAATTTGAATTAATTTTGATACTCATTGTTGACATCAACTTTGTCATTTTTCTCTTTGACATTGCCATTGTGCCTTGACACTTTTGCTTGTGAAACATCAGGAAACTGAGGAGCTTAAACGTGTATTGGAAAAGGAGATTTTGAAGTTTAAGGTGATTTTTCCCATGATTGATATTTTTTTGAAAAAGATATCTTAATTTTTTTTTGTAACCTTTTGGAATAATGACACATGTTCAAGAATAAATTGTACAGTAATAAGATTTAGTCTTTGTTTTTTGGTCCACATTATTGCAGGCTAGAAGACGAGTACTGAATTTGAGAACCTAAGTTATGATGAGATCCTGATTTGACATTAATTTTCTTGTGAGGTTTTTGGTAGTCATCCTCCCTATAATTCACTTATATTTTTCTGTATAGCCTATGTGACTAGAGAGACCTGACTTTTGTAAAGATAATGCGACCCTACTGAGCATCATGTTATGTATCACGTAGTAACATGTAATCCAAATGCCATCAGCCCCCCAAAAAAAGCAACTACCATTTTGAATATATTCAAGCATTTCATATACCAGAGTTAAAATAAATTGCCTCTTTTTATTTGTACTTTACTGAATGTGCTGTGAACAAGGCTATATGATTATTTTATTTTTCTGGAAAGATGTTACTTCATGTGACATAAAGCTCCTGATTCCTGATTGGATTTATTTTTGTACTATATGTTGTTACATGTATTACTCTTGTATTGCTCTACAATGCTGCTGAACCTATTTTTCGGTTTTGTTGTGCTATTGTATATTGTCTGTTACATTGCCAGGGTTATGGTTCCCTCTGACTTTCATTTCCCTTAGGATTAAATGCCTACTGATATATATGACGTCTTTTTTTCTTGCTTAGAGGGAGCAACATCTATCGAAGCAGGGCGTGCCTTCTGCTGCCATTGAACATTATCATGAGGCAAGGATGGAACCCTTCCCTCATTGTGTAGAAATACCATCTGATGGAACTGATGTCTGGGAAATTGATACCAACCAGCTGAAGTTTGAAAACAAAGTTGGCTCTGGGTCATTCGGTGATTTGTGAGTTATTTCTGTTTGAAGTTTATTAGAACTGAAAGTAGCATCTTATCTGATCTTCCTCTCTTTTCCCATTCTCTGAGCTTATCCAGGTACAGAGGTAATTATTGCAGCCAAGATGTAGCTATCAAAGTCCTTAAGACTGACAAAATAAATACAGAGATGTTGAGAGAATTTGCCCAGGAAGTTTACATCATGAGGTTTGTTGACATACCCATATGACATTGGTAGAGCTTAAACTTCCTGTTACCTGGATTTCCACCCCCATACTTTCTGCCAATCAGTTTTGCATTCTGTTCTATTTTATAGTGGAGAAGAAGTGCTTTAACCAACTTTATTTGGTTGCCCCTGTTTCATACTTAACTGTCCTAGATACAGTGTATGCTTGAACTTTTTTTGCGCAGTAATTTTTAACTGCTAAAACCAGGAAGTATACTCCTTTGTCCACAGCCCTTCACATCAAAATTAAGACTTCTCAGACAATATAGTTTGGGTTAGAGTTTTATTTCTTCTTTTTGTTATCTTTGATTGAAATCCAACGACCTCTAGCAGCTTCAAATCAATCATTTTGCATCTCTTTTACTCCCATGTGCCTCCGACTCTGATGCTTGACAGCTTAGAGCTAGATGTAGATTGATAATAATTGAGGTTAAACATCATGTTTTTGAAAATTTCGCACATTCTATAGATATAATTTGTATAACAATGGAAACTTTTCCCCTTGATATGGCATTCTAGGATGTCAATAGGTAAATTCTTCTGCAGTCGAACTTTGGTTTAGTTGCAATCGTGTCATGGCTATGAAATCTCATGGCTGGTATCAATGGAAACTGACTGATTAATTAACCATGATGATGTAGGAAAGAAGTGTGCTGGCACAATTCATACATACATTTATGTGTGTATGTATGTATGGTACTTGCGCCATTGGGTGTTTCTGAACTTCATTTCATTTTTTTGTTGAAAATATCTATTAATGTGTCGATTCTAAGGATTCGACTAGTTTGTCTTATCGATTAATGATGTGGTGTTCTCGCAAGTTGGGGTTGAACTTCATTTTTCTTACTATAACTTATCTTTGATTGCAGGAAAATTCGACACAAGAATGTTGTGCAGTTCATTGGAGCATGCACTCAGCCACCAAATCTATGTATTGTCACTGGTATGCAAGACATGCATATTCAGATTGTTAATTTTCAAAGTTAAATCTAGAAACTTGACAATTCTCTAGTTCTATTTACAGTCAAAGATATACTTATAATCTTGACAATATCTTGAATTTTCTGTTTATGATATATCATGTAGTTTTATTTGTAAGATGATTAGGTTTCTTCATTGAGTCAACTATTAGTCGAGCTTGGATGCTTATGCAACATGTTTATGCCATTGTCAGAGTTTATGTCTAGAGGAAGCGTCTATGACTTTCTGCACAAACAAAGGGGTGTATTTAAGCTTCCTTCTTTACTTAAGGTAGCAATTGATGTTTCCAAGGGAATGAACTATTTGCACCAAAATAATATAATTCACAGGGACCTCAAGACTGCCAATCTTCTAATGGATGAAAATGAAGTAAGTGCATTCCAAATATACACGTTGATATTGCCTGTTTCCTTTTCAATTATCACTCTACTTATTGTTGCTTTCTGTATAATCTGCAATTTAATTAGGACTGCATTTGAACGTTTAGTTTATATTTATCTTTGATTCTTTGTTTATTTATTTATTTATTTTGGAGTTCTGATATACTTGTGATATTTATTATCCTCATATATCCTAAAAGCTTGATAAATGATAGAGCACAATGGCGTCTTGCAATCCATGTAGCTGACCCCACTTAGTGGGATAAAGGCTTGTTGTTGTATTTATTATCCTCATATATCACCCTCTACTTGTAATCTGTTATGTTCCATTTCCCAATTTGGGAGGAAAATCCATGTGGAAAAGGGCTCTGAATTTAATTGTATTCCTATCTTTCATTACTCCCATTCTCATTCATAATGGTTTGCTCATCAAAGGTTTTATTCATTAATAACCAAACCTTTATGGCATCATGAAGTGCTGGTCAATTGATAGTTGTATAAACGGTTCTTAGATTAGCAGGTTAACACTGACTCTTGGTTGGGATAGAATTAAATAAAAACTTTTGTACGTGTAAGTGAGGAAAATATTTTTTCTTCTCTTTTAATTCCTTTCTAAAGGAAGTAAAGCATATCCTATTCATATCTTCAACAGGTGGTGAAGGTTGCTGATTTTGGGGTTGCCAGAGTGCAAACTCAATCTGGAGTGATGACAGCTGAAACTGGAACTTACCGTTGGATGGCTCCTGAGGTATATAGATTATATTGGACATAATTTTACTGCCCGCACTTCTGTTTTCCTCACATTATTATGCAATGAAAATTTGGTAGGCATCAGTATATGTAGCATGCTTTCCTATTGTTGCTTAGTAGAGAAGAGGAAAGTTGGATGATATTGATGGTTAATTAATATTTTTATTTAAGCTTCTGACAATTTCTTTTTCAGTTTAATTTGCTCCTCGTTTTGATATCTTTTTTTTTTTTTTTGGAAATATATCTAGAATCCAAGCAATGGTGGCCATCTCAATTTCATAAATTCTTGGCTATTTTCTTACATAACATATATGCATGAATCATCTATCCTTATTTCTACTTTTGTTTTCATTTCTTTCATTCTTTCAAGCGCACACTTTAATTTGTCTGTTCCTTTCTTCTCTTCGCGTCTCTTTTGATACAGTTGATCTATTCTTTTCTTCGTTCGATTTGCTGATTTGATTCTTGAATTCAGCTGTTTGATGATGCTTCAGATCTCTTTTCAATGATTTGATTTTACTTGAAGGTCATTGAACACAAACCGTATGACCAGAAGGCAGATGTTTTTAGTTTTGGAATAGCTCTTTGGGAGCTTCTAACAGGAGAAGTAAGTCGATTCAAAGCCACAGAATAGACTATGCTTGTTTAACTTTCTTTTCCCTTGTCTGAAACAATGATCCAGGCTCTTTCCACTCTGGTCTCATGGTATATGCCATATTCTTTGATCAGCTGCCTTATGCTTACCTGTCCCCATTACAAGCGGCAGTAGGCGTGGTGCAGAAGGTTTTTATTCTGTCCTTGCACATCATCTTGCGAAAGCATTTTCCTTATTTGAACTAAAATGATTCTGTTTTTGACCCTACTATCAGGGTCTACGACCTTCAATCCCCAAGAATGCACACCCAAGGCTATCTGAACTGCTCCGGCGATGTTGGCAGCAAGATCCAATTGAGAGACCGAATTTCTCAGAAATATTGGAAATTCTTCAGCAGATAGCGAAGGAGGTGAAGCACTCCGCAAAATCTCAAATTTTGTGAAGAAACCGAGTGTTTGACCTCGTAGGCGATTCTAAATATTTTGTCTTTGAACAGGATGCAGACGATCGACCCAAGGATAAATCATCTCATGGTTTTCTCTCGGCACTAAGACGGGCCCATCAGTAATTTTGAGTAACCTGACGCCACGATCAAATAACCAAGCCTTTCTTTTCTTTTTCGGTTTTGGTCCTGTACAGCGGTCTGATCAAATGAGAGGAGATCCCAGTAGCTTGTTTCTGCTTTTTGAAAATTTCGGTTACATTCTACTTCTGTTGCCTTAAATTCCTTACTTTGTACAATTCCTTCACCCAAACGTTCTAATTTTCCTGTGAACGTTTATGGAGAATGGATGCTGAAGCTGAAGGGACCGTGTTTTAAAATTTGAGGCATTATGTTATTTATCATTATTGTCCTCTCCTCCTTTCCCCGCTTCTTTATCGAGATGACGTTTTTTGAGATGATTTCCAAGCACCCACAAGGTAATGAGCTTTTGATTAGATGCTGATAGAATATGTTCCAGGTTACAGAATGTTAATCAACGGTCGATTCATCTCTATATCGTTCAATCCTGTAGATGTTCGCGATATATAATATTTGAAAGCCACAATACAAAGAAATTTGGAAAATGTTCGCCCAAGGTTGCCGTTGTAAGATGGTCGTTCTAAAATTGCAACTGAATGGAAAAAAATCCGGTGCACAAGGCAATGATGATTCCCCATTCTGGTCAGTCACCGTGAGATCCAAGACGCTGCCTTGCACGAATCCTGACTTGTAAGCGAACGAGTGCATGCATACAGTGCAACGCTATGCGCGATTGTCTCCTCACGAATACCCCGCGCGCCAATGCTTGCAGCTTCACCACGCTTTTGAGAGCTCGATATGCCCTTCTTGCCTGCTCAATCATCGAGTTTTGAGCCATGAGACATTCAATATTCAAACCGTAGCTGTAATGCTTCAAAGAATCATTGGTTCAGCGTAACATACCAGGTGGCTCCTGAAATAAGCTTGAATCTTGATTGCCGCGATATCTTCTTTCGTGCAGACTTGCAAACTATGGTCTTTAAATGCCAACGTTTCATTCCCGAGAAAGGGTTTATCGTTTTCATTTGAACAAATTGCCGCGCTATCTCTATTGGATGAGCCCAGGAATTTTCTACGGACTATTTTCAACCATCCCTGCGGTACGCCCATTTTTTTCCCTGTTCCAGTTTTTGGAATGGAGCGCATTTCTATAGGTTGTGTCCTCAACGCTTATGCAGGAAGTGGCGTAAAAACTAAAAAGGAGACTTGTGGGGAACATGCTTGATGGGTGATGCGAGGGAGATGGTTTTTCTTCGTTGCCTGACATGTCAGAATTCTGGACACAAACAACATGGCCAGATGAATTCCTCTTCTGACCAGTCCAGCGTGACTTCGAAGCATAACCCACTCTCTAACTACTCAACCAACTAACAGCACGATTTCCTGGAATGAAATCAGGCTATCAGCTGTCGTTGTCAATTAAACAATGCAAACAATTTTCTTCTTAATATTTTTTGATACTTTCATTTTATGACTCTCATTTATTCATTGTGTCTGAAAACTAAAACTAACGTGTCGTCCTAAAAAATGAGAAATTTATAAAAATCATTGGAAGGTCTTAGTGCTTGCACGCGGGCCCATTACTCATTGATCCACATAGCAAGATCAACTTTGACTTAATGGACTGGACTCAGATATTGTAGCTTAAAAAAAATGACGGGCTCAGAATCTGTACATATAGATCCTTTCGCATCTAACTGTTCCAACCAGCCCAATATTATTTATTCTTTTGCTCTCGCTCCGAAGTTAGAGTTTTCTCCGTCCCGAGTCTGTGGTGCTGAACTTCTTCGACTTTTGCAATGGCCAGTTTCTCAAGCATGTCGCTATCGTCTTCTTCACTCTTGTCTCGCTCGCCTCCTATTCGGTACCCTTGTTCTGTAAGCCAAGGAAGGATCTGTTTCTTCAACAAGATTTCTCATCCAAGGTTGCTTGTGCTTTCTTTAAAGTGCTCTAAGAATTCAGAATCTGGTTCAGAAACGTCTGTTTCTAAGCCTTTGTCTGCCGATGATTTCACTAACAAACTGGGCGCGGCGATTGGGGGAATCGGCTTTCTGGAAACTGCGTATTTGACTTACCTCAAGCTCACAAATTCCGAAGCATTTTGCCCTCTTGGCGGTGGCACCTGCTCCGACGTACTCAACAGTGATTATGCGCTTCTTTTCGGTGACGAACTTTCTCATCTTACCTCTATTTAGCTATTTCTGTTGGTTGATTGCTCATATATTCCAGCGTACGGAATTGAACTGTACTGTAACCATGTAACACTGCATTTTATATTTAATTAACACCAACCTTTTATTTCTGTTAAATTCTTGGTATTCTTCTTAATCCTTATTTGGCCACAAGTATCACTGTTGACTGGAAATTTGCATGTCAACACATTGCAGGTAATTTGTTTGAAAGAAGGTCTCAATGACAGTCCTTTTGAATTTGCCAGGTGTCCCTCTTCCTTTGATTGGAATGGCTGCATATGGCTTGGTTGCGGCTATAAATCTACAGTTGTCTGGAGAGGAGTGGCCTTTGGGAATAAAAAAATCTGATGCTCAGTTAGTATTGCTTGGATGCACTACGTCCATGGCGGCTGCCAGTGCGTATTTCTTGTACATTCTGAGCACCAAATTCTCCGGGTCATTTTGCTCGTACTGTTTACTTTCTGCTCTGCTATCTTTCAGCTTATTCTTTATCACTGTGAAGGTGCATTGTGTTTATCCTATGCCTTTTTTTTTTTTAATCTGATCTGCTGCAACATGCTGCTTGTTGCCTAATTTGCTGGTTTTTTGGGGAAAACTTGTAGGATCTTGGATGGCATGAGATGCAAAAGGCCATGGGTCTTCAATTATTAGTAGCTAGCTTAGTAATGATCACGCTGAGCACCTCATTCACGGGCTCTAAGTCTATCTCTTCAAGGTGAATGTTACCATATTTAGGCAATTTGTTTGCTTCAACTTGTATATTTCATTCATTATGTGGGAAAAAACTTTTATCTTTCATTATCAGCAATACGAGACGGAGAACATTAGAATTATTTCATGTATGCCTAATTGCAATGGCAATGCTGTATTTCAACCTTGATCAAATTTGAGTGAACGGGTTGTTTCCTTTTGTTGTTTTCCATTGTCTTTTGATACAATTTGAAGCCTGAAGAGGTAGTCTCTCCATTCAAATCATATCTGTATTTGCTGCTTATCTCTAAAATTTTTGTTTGGGTCAAATATATATCTTTCTCATATGTTTCTGTTTTAGTTCATGCTAGACCTTGATATGACTCAAATCTATAGCATGCATTTCAGCTGCTTTGGAATATCTCACACGGCTGTATAGTTTGTGGTTTATAGTCAACAGATTTTGATTTAGATTTGAGTACAAAGCAAATGATGCAGCACTCCCCTTAAACTGACAATCTAGTTCTAGAATCTAGATTATTATATAGTGTAGGACCAAGACAAGTGATCTATAGAGTTGCTGACTACGAAATATATGTAGTCAAAAAATGATCCATATTTATCTTCAATCCATGCTAAACGCTTCAGGCAGTACCTGTAACCTTCAGATTTGGTTATGGTCATTTTGTTTGTCCTTCTTACCTTGGTGGTAGAATTTTCATGCGAAGTATAAGTATTTTCAAAACCATTGTAGTTATATTCAGTTATTTATTTGGTCTCACCAAATAAACCTCAACTGGGTCTAACTATGATAAATATATATATATATATATATAAATATTTTCTATTTGCACTTGTGATGAAATCAAATTGTATGGATACTTATGTAATCTGAATTTTCTAATGTAGATTTTTTTCCCCACATTAACAGCTTGGCAGAAGTTGAACTCCCATATTATTCACCTGAGATTACAGCTCCATCGAGTCCTTTTGCTTTATCTCTAGCAAGGCATTTGCACTCCATTGGAGCTAAAATGTATGGAGCGTTTTGGTGTTCCCATTGTTTAGAACAAAAAGAGGTATGCGGTCCCTTACAATGCCAGCATAAACTATGATTGATTGAGAATTTTACTACCGTGCAAAATTCTATCATTTTCATTGAACAATGTATGAGCAGTGAAATTTTATTTTTACTGTTGTTTCTGTTTTTATCCAATTGCTCAGCTGTGGTGGCATATTTTACCAAATATTTGTCAAATTGATTTTTCATGGTTGATCAAGTCGATTTTGGGGAACTCATAAGCCTTGCATGCTGAATACAGGCTGCAATCGAAGTTAATGTGCTGCTAATGTTGTTTATTCACTCTAACCTATTGTTATAGATGTTTGGACGTGAGGCAGCAAAACTGTTAGATTACGTGGAATGCTTTCCTGAAGGTTATAGAACAGGAACTAAAATGATCAAAGCATGCAAAGATGTGAAGATTGAAGGTTTCCCCACGTGGATTATTAATGGTCAGGTAGGGAATTCAGTAGGCTGAGAATATAACTTCTGAACTCCTTCCTCTGCCATGATTTTGTTGTTCTCACTCGGGCATTTCTCGCAGGTTGTGAGTGGGGAGCTGGAGTTACCAGAGCTTGCTCTGGCGTCCGGTTTTAATGAATCTGTCCAACCTAGTTAAGTTTTTACAGACTCGGCAACAAAATAATATGCAAAGCGTGTTTACATAGATCAGTGGTATGTAAACACATGTTCACTCTTGCTGTGGCTAAGCACATGTTCTCTCTTGCGACACTCCATCTGTCCTTGCTTGGTACCAAGGAAATTAAAGGATTTGAAGTCGCCAGGGTAACATAAACTTCTTGCCCACCTCATGTATCTGGTTGAGTAGGTCACAAGCAAAGGCAAAGATTGAAATCGAAGACTAGAGTGTAAAACCAAAGGATACAATGAAATCTGAAGCTTTCAAATATATTCGGACACCCCAGGCTTGGAAGTCAAGCGCCCATTTATTTGCCAATCACTAAATAGATTTTTGGTGTAACGTAAAATTTATAATAAAATGTGTCTCTTTATATAATATAAAATTTACAGGGATCTTATTATTCATGATTTGATAATAGTGCATTTCATTACAAACTTTACGTAAATTACCATTAGTTTTGTGGAAATGTATAACCTAAGTAAATTACAAAATTAACCTTAAATGATTTGTGACAGTGTTCTGTTGTTTATTTTGCTTAATGTTATATTAAAAAAGATATGGATTAAACTTAAATAATTTTTAACCGAAAAAAAAAATGAATAATAAATAGTACCGTGTGATAATTAATCTTGAGTGACCTAGAATGGCCGTTGGTCCGATCCTGGCTCAAGTGAACCAATTCTAATCAAATGTTGAACGATTGGGGAACTCCAACCTTGTTGAGGATTAAAGAACAAAAAAAAAAACTCATTAGAGGCTTGAATCCGAGATCAATGATTGCTGGATGAATGAACGGTTCCGATGGCGTGCGAGGCTGAACCTCGGATCGCGCTTGCAGGGCCCACTATAGCAACGCTTTCGAAAAAAAGGAAGATGCTTTGGAATATACCCTATCCATGGAGCTATCTGTGCATCGTTTCTTTATTTTCTCCTTGTTCTTTTCCGGTCTGTTCTCTATCATTTGTTTTTTCCCCTTTTCCTTATCGTCGTCTTGTTTGTCCCCACCCTAATTATAACCTCCACTTCCCCTTCTTTATCATATCTCTTCCTTCCTTCACCCTCTCAATCTTCTATCACCACCGTTTCTTGCACAATTCCTGCCTTCGCATTTCCACAGTCATCGTTTCCAATTCTCTCTCCCACTGCTTCAAGAAGTAGGAGGAATATGAATATGAATGGGATTTCTACCATCTCCGACCTGGAACAAGAAGAATTGCTTCTCAAATTGGAGGTCTTCAAAATCAAAGGTAAAGATAAACACGGACGCAAGATCCTTCGCATCATTGGCAAATTCTTCCCCGGTAATATATTTCTAAGCGACCTCAATATCTTAACCTGTATTTTTTATACTATATCTCGTGAGTTGGAACAATGATTTATTTGTATGTATTTGGACGAGACAGCACGATTCGTGAGCGTAGATGTTGTGAAAAAGTATCTGGAGGAGAGGATTTTTCCCAAGTTGGAGAAGAGAAAGTTCTCGGTGGTGTACGTGCACACCGGGGTTGACCGTTGCGAGAATTTTTCGGGAATCTCGGCTCTGAGATCAATCTACGAGGCGATTCCGATGAATGTGAAGGAGAATCTGGGGGCCGTTTATTTCATTCACCCGGGCCTTCAGTCGCGGCTTTTTCTGGCCACCTTCGGTCGCTTTCTCTTCACCCCCGGGTAACTAAACTAACTTAACCGCTTTAGGCGCATTATAGTTAAATTAGTGCGGCGCATGCTAACTTGGGCCGATAACGAGTTGGTGGTCGTGGGGCAGGCTGTACGGGAAATTAAGGTACGTGAGTAGGCTTGATTATCTGTGGGAGCAGGTGAAGAGGAACGAGGTGGAGCTGCCGGAGTTTGTGTACGATCACGATGAAGATTTGGAATATCGTCCCCTCATGGATTATGGCTTGGAGAGCGACCACCGTGCTTCTGCCTCCCTCGATTCCCCTCTTTCTACCTACTCCATGAGGTGCATCTCTTAGAAATTTCCTCTTACCTTCACTTCCATGTTCATATTTTGTTGGGAAGCCTTTTTTTTGCCCCCACAGTGAATTTGTGTAGAGCTCTTCTGTCTTTTTTGTTTTTTGTTTTAACCCGCAAGCTCTTTTGTCGGTTTGAATCAATTAAATGGATCATTATAAGGTATGATTGGTCTACTAGAAATCCTCCTGATTTGGATCCTTGAAATGTATTTTGGTGATTAGAAAAAGTAAGCCTATTATATAAATAAGGTATTATAAGTGTTAATTTTATATCTGCAATTGAGCATTGAGCTAAATAGCATATATGAGATCCAGATGCGCTTTAGCCAAATCTGTTCAACATATGTGAATTTATTTAATCAATTCCGCGCATATTGTAAGAAGCTAGTGAACATAGGTTAACTCATTAGCGGTTTTTTTTCCCCCGAGTCCGGTGAACAACTCATTAGCTTCTTTTGATTTGGGATGCCTTTGTATGTCTTTTTTTTTTTGGGGGGGGGGGGGGGGGGTGGGTTAGATCCTTATCCGAGATTTTATTTTTTTTCTTGGTCCGTGCATTTATTCCTTCGTCATTTTCAATTCTTGAAAAACCGGAAAGTGGAAATATTGGAGTTTAACGTGACACCACCCCTGTGCTTCGTATATCAAGTTGCATTAAATATTTTTCCAACAAAAAAAAAAGTTGCATTTAAATTCGATCTTTTAACTTTTGAATATTGCGCGAGAGAAAATGAAGTTTGGAATACACGTGGGAGAATGACACGGAAATTTTTTGAAAAAAGGGAAATGACAATTTTGATAATCACATTTAGGTTTCAAAATATTTTATTACAATTAAATTTTTATATGAAATTACTTTACTATCCTTACGCAAAAAAGAAATGGGGTTAGCTTCCCTCCTTCGGCTTGACGTTGTGCCTCCTCAAACCCGAAAACATACCGTATCAATTATAAAAGAAAATTTGAACCATCCATTCCACCAAATAATCTTAGCCTTTCATTATTATTTTATTCTGTTTTTCATTCTTTTGTTAAAAATCTAGGGTTCCAGAATGGGAAATTCATGTTTTGCCTTCAAAAAAAATTTATTACTGGAGTATGGGAAGAAATTCTCATAAAAGGAAAAAGGATTTTGCTGACATCATATATTGGTGAGTAAAAACGTGTTATTTTCATCAATGAGAAAGAAGGGAAATGACTAGTATTATATTGTATTTCCGCAAGTTGGATGTTTTCTGTCATGGGTAGATATTGTCTCTGAATTTATAAAATGAAAACGCCAACATATATATTTTCATTTTCCTATTATCATCGGTGTTTACTTGTTTCATTTTCTGATAGGTTTATATAGATACAATTTTATATATATGTTGTTGGAAGTTATTTTATAGAGTTGTATTTGTTTTATTTATAACCAATTTACTTGTCACAGGCTTAGACAATAGATATAAATTTGACTTCTAAACTTAATCTTGAGTTTGATAATATGGAAGAGTCATGGCAATTTTGGAGAAATTATGGTAGTAGAATCGGTTTTGGTGTTCGAATGAAGAAATTTAACATGAGTAGAAAAGATAGGTTATATTCATAGTACTTATTTTTTGTTGTAAAGAAGGAGTGTGAAAACTAGAAAAACAAGACAAGAACATAACAAATTCTATATCGAAGTCAAGAACAGGTTGCAAAGCTAGAATGAGAGTTGTGCAAGTAAATGAGAAGTATAAAACTAGTGATGTTTTTCTAAATTACAATTATGACCTACAGCCTCCTAAAGCTATTCACATGTTTCAATCATATCATGAAATAACACTAGCACAAGCTTTTGAATTAGAAATTACAAAAAATGATGAGATTAATAATAAAAAACTAGCATTTAATTTGATGAGTGAATATGCCAGAGTTGATACAAAGAATTACCTTAATTCAAGGAGGAGACAAGCCATGTCAAATGATGAAGCTAAATGCACTTTTGCTACTTTAAAGAACAAGTGGTAGAAAATATCTTTTTGTTTTCATGCTCATTAAATGGACTTAGAGATGGAAGTTACGAATGTCTTATGGGCAGATGCATGTAAGTTGATTGACTATAGTTACTTTAAAGAAGTTGTTTTGCATGATACAATTATTATATGAATCATGATCATAAACCTCTTACTATTTTCTTTGGCATAAATCATTATAAAATAAGGGTGATATTTAGGGCTGCATTATTCTATAGTGAAACTATTGAAAGTTTTAAGTGGTTCTTTGAGACTTTTTAGCGTATGCACAAGGATGTGAAGCTACTAACTATTTTTTTTTGCTAATCAAGATGCTGCAATGGCACAACCATTACAAGAAGTGATGCCAGAAGTATCACATGCCTTATGCACATGGCATATTTCAATGAATGCAATGAAGCACCTTAAAAACTTGAAAAATGGTTAGTCTCATATCTTGAATAATTTCAATTATTATACGTGTCATTGTTGGGATGAGACAGAGTTTAAGGAAGCATGGCAAAAATTATTATCAAGACACAACATGGGAGAAAACACATGGTTGATATCCACGTATGAAATAAAAGAGAAGTGGATAGCATGTTATATAAAATGCTTAAGGATACTTGATATGAGAATTACTCATATTATTGAAGGTATAAATTCATATGTGAAGAGTTGTACAAGTCCTAAATTAGATTTAAACCAACTCTCTCAAAAGTTTATACAAACTATAGAGGACAAGCATCATAATGAATTGTAATGTGAATTTCAGATATGTGATAAGTTGTCAAGGTTGATATTGCAGAGTTCATGTATACTTCGTTAGTTTTTTGAAGTCTACACTCGACCTATTTTTGACTTGTTCCAACTTAAATATGATCACGTGATGCTACATGTATAAAAAATAGACAAGAAAGGAAGAAAAATGAAGATGAGGAGGACAATACAATCTTGTTTGATTATTTGATCTCCATGGTTAATAAAAGAGAGAAATATAGTTTGACATTCGATCTTTCAACTGAGATAATTATCCCTAATTGTAAAAGGTTTGAATAAGAAGGTATATTATGTTGTCATGCTTTGAGAGTATTATATGACTATGATGTCAAGCTACTCCTAAAGAAAGATATAACCAAGAGGTGATTTGGTGTAGCGTATGATTTGAAGGGAAAGCAAATTGAAGCTGATCTTAAATTTGACAAGTCAATATGATATAGGGAGTTGTGCCCTGTGTTAAATTAGCAAGTGATACATCAGAAAGCAATATGGGAACTTACTAACAAAGTGGCTAAACTTCACATAAAAGGAAAAGATAGTAATAGTAATGAAAGTAATGGTGTGATGGTGAAATCATTAGGTTTAAAAAGAGATATGGTAGAAAACAAAAGCAAAAATGATTGAGAAATTGTGTAGAGGAATCAAGTAGAAAAATGATAAAGAGTTCAAAGCTCAAAACAAACTTCCTAAGCTTCTAGAAAATTTTCAAAGGCATGCTTCTAATAAATTTTTCTTTTGTTTTTTTTAATATGCTTTTTAGATAATTATATTTTTTCCCAACTATAGCATGATCAAGTACAATATGATCATATAATATTGGATACACCTGAAGAAGATAAAGTACAACATGATCATGTAATGTCAGAAACAACTGAACTAAGTCAAATGACTTTTACCAATTTATTAATGGTAACCACATAATACTCTAACTATTTTATAGATTTAGAACTTATACATTTAGTCATTGTTTCTCTTTTTGTGAATATAGGAATCACTTGATTGTGATATGACATCACTTGAAGCAATACATTTTAGCCAAGCATTTACAAATGGTGAATTGCAACAATTTATGGGTGAAATGATTCACTCTTATTCAAATCAATGTAATTTTTATTACACTTAATAGTTTAAAAACAATATAATATTTATTTGCATTCTAAATGTACAAATATAGGTTCACAATTCAACAAAGATCCTTCTTAATGAAGTTATCTAGCTCAAATCCTCTGCTCCAGCTATAACTTCATTTCAGTTTCATTTGCTTTCTTTTGTTCTAGCCATTCCTTCTACTAATCTTAGGATGCTTCATTTCAATTCTGTTTGTTAGCTTCCTTTTTTCTCAGATTTCACATGGCATGCTCTTATTTAGGTCATAAAAGCCATTGGATGATTGTATAGCATTTACTACTCTTAGGCTATTCTCTTTTTAATCATATAGCTTATCTTCATACTTTGACTTCTTTGTGATGTAAAAAAGGAAGGGTGGAGGAGAATAGAGAGAAGAGAAGGAGGGGAATAGAAGAAGAGAAGGAGGAGGGAGATAGAAAGAAGTAACACATTAACTTAACATACATTTACTCAATCACCAATTCCTTACTAACACACAATCATCACATCACATATCATTCACTTCTCATTTCAATACACGTTTATAAGTAAAAAATCATTTTGAATTTAACTCCACGTTTAGGTCAGATCAAGGTTAATACATTGTCATATAGTTTATAGCATGCTTTCACACTCAATTTTAATTATACATATAAATAAATCCATTTTTACATTATAACACAATTAACAAACAATTATTTAAGATAGACTCTTCTAATTATCTCAAACTTTTGAAAGATTAAAAGTTTATTCCTTAATGACTTTTGCTTCCAAGCTTGCTCTTTAAGCCCAAAATGGAGCGCAGGGTATTAATCTACAATTAATCAACCTACAATCATTTATATTACTATATAAACAATGTAACCTCTTTTACTCCTATCTCTAAAACACTCAAAGCTCTTGTTCCTCATATTTAGACTTACCCATTGAATATATTAACTCTCTATCAATCCCCAACTAACAATTATTAATCTCACATAGGATCATTAATGCCTCAATAACCCTTATAACTCACATTTAATGTCTATTTTTAGATATTAATGTGCATCATAAATCAAAAGTGTGTAAAACCCTTAGTCATTGGTTTAATACCCCAAACAATTTTCATTAACTCCGTTTGAGTTAATGGGTTTAGACTAACAACCTATATAGACAAAAAATAAACGGTCTTCCATTATCAAACCTTAATCAAAAACTTTAAAAAAATGGGTTGGGAAGGAAGAAGAATAAGTTAGAAGACTTATTCTTAGGGTTTAGTAATTTCAAAATACTCCAATCTCCCTATAAAAACAAACCCTAACAGAGCCCCAAAGCTTCCCCCATATCTTTCTTATGTTTTCTCTCTACTTTTTGTCTTAGTTCGCCTTATTTTTGTAGAAAATGTACCGTGTGCTGTGGCATATGGTACAGAAAGGTAAGTTTCATGTTTTGGCGGCTTGTGCATTGTGACATATGACATAGAGTCATTCTCCTTTGTTCTTCTCACTTTTTCATGTCTAGGTGGCCTTACTTCGCTCCAAATTTAATCTTAATGTTAAAATCACAATCCAAAATATTTGTTAGCTCTCTATAACCATACACCACATTATTTTAACCTTCTTTAACTATCCTCTAATTCCATTTAATAAATTAAATATAATTATCTTGCTAATTAACTGACAATTAAAATTTGAGATGTTACACACACCCTCACCCCGGTCCTCACGTCCCTGACTTTGGTGCTAGCAGGGCTCTCTACTCCAAACTAGTAGAATTCTGTCAATTTGGTGTTCATTCTCTGGCAAGTTTCAAGACATATTTCTCATTCTTAGTCACCGACCTGAATCCAACGTCCATCGATGGCAAACTCACTTTCTTGATCGCGCCAGATGATTAAATTGCCGATGATTTCAATATAGTTCTCTTGGCCTCCTTAACACAACGAGCACTACTCCCTCGGGTTTTCTGGTGGTTGAGTTCACGCACAGGGAAATTGGGAGAAGAGATAGAAGCAGGTGAAGAGATGGCCCTTTCAATTGGGTGTTTCTTTTTTCCAGACGTGTAGCAAAGTGATTTTATAGAGAAATTTAATATCAAAACACTTGTTGGAACATCACTATAATTATCACATTTTTCAAAACTAAATTGTTATTGGCGGCACTTTATCAAAAAAGAAGAAAAACTGCAGGCAACAATGTTACTCTTTTAGTTTTATTTTCAACATGTTTTACTGAAATTATAAAAAACTTTAAAATTTAATAATTTTATTTAAAAATTTAATAATTTTTTAATTTTATTTCTATTAAATATATATAATTTAACAACATATTTTTACTCTCTAATATTCAATGTAAGCCAAGCGAAAAAATTTGTGTTAACAGTTCAATGAGATGGCTTATGAATAGGATAAAATTTTTTTGTTTCTTTTACCTTATAAATAGAATTAAGAGGAGTATACATAAGGCTTTGCTGGCTTTGAACAGCACTAATCCTTTTTTTTTTTTATTCCTTGGGCTTAAAGTAACTAGAATAATTCGGTCTTTCACAAGAACATATGCCAGCGTAAGAAAAACAGTGACGATTATCAGGGAATGAGTAGATCAAATGTTGATAAAGATAATTTGGAGGATCATGAAATGGCAAGATCTCACGCTTGCATCACCAATCATAACCAAGGAAAGTCCAGAATCGCTAAATCTTGAGAGAATGTCAACAGAACAATCCTCCGCGTCAAAAATTGTAGCATAATAGCCTGGATGATATTCATTTCTCTTGCAGCGTTTTTTGTTCGGGAAAGCATTCAGCTAAAGCAAGCCTGCCTGTTAGATATTACAAGAAGGTAATAATTTACAACTATTAAACAGAGCATCAGCAACGATTCTCGTCCACCAATTTCTCCATTACTATTGCGACATTAACCCAATGAAACTCTTTAGCTGGAAGAGGCGAGGTGCAATCATCATCATGGCGCATAGCCCCAATGTCCAGGCTTTTAACGGAACCCACTGCCTTTTTCGCTCATTCAGCTTATAAACACAAAAACTAGTGGAACTTTGGCAGCGTGATTTCGCACTTTCCAAAACGAATCTACTCTCTATGAGCCTCTACCTTCGAAAGCACCGGTTTGAAACTATCTCCCAGTCACCCTGTTTCTCTTTCTTTTTGGTAAAACACAAGTCAAGCAGAGTTAGGCAAGGCCGAAAGAACTTGGCGTTGGGACATTTGAATGTGGAAGCTTTCAAGTTGAACATAGAAGCGCTACCTCTATAACAGAAGGAGATGACATCTGAAATTCTCTTCACACCCATGATAATCTCAAGCCGAAAGGGAGAAATCACAGTCATCTACCCATCCGTCGTCAAGCTTATATACTTTCAAATCAACCACATAGCATTACTTGCAGATGGAGCGAAATCGGAGAAGGTCGATGTTACTATGGACGCATTTGCCTATCATCGGCCATAGTTCCTCGGGAACATCACACCCATCTAAACCCTCATCCATCCAAATTTCAAAATTGAAGAGCAGGTGAGGTGAATCGGATTCTCACACTATTTATTTGTGTTTCCGCACCACCAAATGATAAGGGCTTCCCCTCCAATGGCGCCTCCAGCTTGGGGGAGGTTTCTCGCTACCTTAGTTGCCGCATCTAACCATCATCATCATCATTATTATTCTCATCATTTTTCTTGTTCGTTCTTATATGTATCTCTCCATGTCCTCACTGTTTCCTGTTTGATTTTAAATTTTTAAATATTTTTTTAAAAAAGAAAAGAGGTTTCTATCCTTTTCTCCTATGCTTTTTAAATAAAATAATACACGTTCTTACAAAATTAACTACTTAAGTGTAATTTTTTTTAAAAAAAGAAATGATTCTTCCCATATTGTTGGAAAAAATGAGGACAACTTTGGATGAAAAAATGTAACAATATAATATATTTTCATCACCCATTTTTCTCTAAAGAGAAGAAAATGCAGTTGTGGGAGAAATCAAGTCTATATTATACCTTCCCTACCCAGTTATCTTTAATTTTCTTAAAAAATAACTAGCTGGGGGAATTATCAATTCCCAACATGTCCTTCGTTTGCTTTTGTATCGAACGTTCTTATTTTTGTATCATAGTTTTCAGCATCATTGAAAAAAAAAAACAAAAAACTTTCCTAACACGCGGGGATGTTCTAGCTTATCTGTCCCTTTCTTAGTTGCATTTGTTAAGAAAGGGGTGTTTTGCTTCTTTCTTTCCCCGTTTAACCCGACCAAAATAATGATTCTGGTGCCGTGGAAAGTTAGTTATGACTCAGGGCTTAAAAGTGACAAAAATTGGTCTACCAGAAAGACCCTTTGGTAAATTGGTCATCGCATCCATAGTACACATGAGTAATTTTAGCTCACTTCTACGTAAGTTCGATATTGGGGGGAAAAAAGAACTTCTCGTGGCAGACTCCTCTTGAATAAATTTATGATTTTTCTCTTTAGTTCCTTAATTTTTTTTATTCAATTAATGATTAAGGTTATCATCTTCAGAATTTACATCTCAGGAAAACGATTTTTTATACGTTAATCATCGATCTATTGGGCAGTGAAAAGAGCGAAACCCTTTCATTTCCAACTACAATCGCGCGCGCATGGAAACCTACCATTCCTAGTTCAAGTATCAGAGGTAGGTCTTCAAATCTTTCAATATTTTGAAAAAGTATTTATTACTATTACTAATGTAACATTAAAAGGGTTCTACTTCCACAGATTTGGCTCGGAGACGAGTTTCGGAAATTCAGAAAGTTCCACGAGAGATTGATTAAAAGAACTTTTTACTTAGTAATTTCAATATCCATTGTTAAATTGGCAGCGTCCGTGATGATAATTGGCACACCCCATCACTAAACTAGATCCTCAGTTTTTATTTTTGTTTTTATGTCTCAGATGTAATAAGTACTAAACGACTAATAAGGATTGCCCAGAGCTTAAAACTAGTACGCGGTACGCACCTCTTTTTTTCTTTTCATATATATATATATATATATATATATATATATTTTTTGTGAGAAATTCCTCCAAACGGTTCTGAGTTCCGCCGATAAGCGAGTAGCTGTGCTTCGCTTCGTTTTTGTTATTTCATTAATACAACACAATACCACTTGTTCTTCTTCTCTCCTCTCTCCAACCTCCTCTCGGTGTCTGGAGAAGGTCAATCAATCCAATTGAAACGGTTTTCTTTGGATTTCTGGTCAATATCCATGCAACTTCGTTTTTTCGATGGTTTAATTCCATGACAATCGTCGATATGTGCGGCCCTTGCCGAGATTTTCGGGATCCACCGATGAACCGCTGCTTCCAAATGTTCTCCTGCCTCGCTGATCCCGGTGCGTTTCCAAATCTTCATTTTCTTCCTTCTTTTATTTCTCTGGTTGCAGGGAAAACGTGGGCGCGGTTAATGTGGTACTCGAGAATTTAGTTTAATGTGTTCATACGCTCTGCATGCTAGATGCTACTTCAAGAGAAGTTGCCCATGCTAAATGCTATATTCTATAACTGTGTGTCATTTATTTCTGAATTTCCCGACATTTATCGTTATTCTTCGCTTTTTTTAAAATCTGAATTTTGATGTCCTGTTGTTAGCTCGGAGGTCGTCGTTGTACTTGAAGCTGGCCTTAGTGACGATCCATCTGGTTTATGCGGCCGTTCTCTTCCTATTTGATGGATTTTTGATAGAAAAAACTAAGAAGGAACCATGGTACGCTTACCCCACTCTCATTGTGCCTTTCGTTTTAACTTTTATAAATCGAAGCAACATTTCTTGCAATGTTGCCGCGTTTAATTGCAATTACGTTGTTTTAATTACGGTTACTTTTCGAGTTTGAAACCGAACCAATTAGTATTCTCATTGTTAGGCTCCGAGGAGAAGCTACACTATTACGTGTAAACTTGATTTTCTCAGTTGAATGAGAAAAACTGGCTTTGGTATTAAACTATTGAAGACTAGAGCTGTGACATGCATCACAAGTTAGTTTGATTTTAAGGAGTTAATCACGCTTAGATCAGGTGAAGGTAAAAGAAACCCTTGAAATGTTGTAATCTGTCTGTTCACTGATTTGTTGATTCCACAAGTCTTGGATAAAGTGCTAGATTTAAGGATACTGTCTATGATGTCTGCTTCAACCGCCGCTTGCTCTTGGGAGAAATTGGCAGAACTGTTGGAGAACTGGGCCTTGCCTTTTACTTACTCGATAATCAGTTTTCACGAGTTGAATAACACATTAAATGATGTATTGTGGGATGGTTAAGATATCTGATAAATAATGCATCATTCTGTATTTTTGAAAGGATGCAAATTGTTGTGATGTTTTCTTGTATTTGTTTCTCCTTTCCTTTGCAATATCATTAAGGTGGGAACATCATTGGTGCCTTGTTGTACACAGAGGAAGCTTATATTCCTTCTTTGATTCTATCAAGTAATTTGAGAATTTCGTTAAGTCTGATTTATTTTACCCCTTTTAGTTAGAGTTATATAAATGAAGTCATCTTATCCAATTTTGGTTTCATGATGTAAATGTTGGATTTTGCCTGAGTAGGTTTCTGAAATTTCTACAATTGTTCTGACTTTATTCTTTGACTTTTATTGTTCTGCCCCCTGTCAGGTACACTGCCTTGTATTTGCTGCTGCTTGCTGCCGCTTTAATACTTTACTTTGTTACCTCCATTTCCTCCCCTGGGTAAACATCAAAGTGAATTGACTTTCTCTGCATGAAGCATAAATTGGATTGTGATAAGAATCCTTGAAATTTGTAAACCTATCTTCCTGACATGTTCCTATTGCCCTCGTTTTTGTAAAGCTATGTCCTTGATGCAATGGCAGCTGTTAACAAGGCAAACGCAGTATATAGAAACACATCTATAACCTCAAGGTAAGCAGTCATCCTTTTTCCTTATCTTCTAAATTTTATTGTAAAAAAGAAATACCAAATTATGTGTTATATAAATTTACATTTTTAATGCCATCTCACCATCACATTCAATTTTCTAATGCTCAAGTAAAGTCAACCTGCTTCAAGCAAGAATGGAAGCTTTATTCTTACTGTTGATGAAAGTCAGTTGGGAAGAAATGATGCAGGAGGTAATTCAATGGATTGGGCAAAGCTGGTGACAGACTTGTATCCTCCTGGAACAGCAATCAGGTAGGTGAACATTTCGCTTAAATTATTTATGCATTGAAATGCCTGTGACAAGTAGAATACTGTTCTATGCTTCTTCTTCTTCTTGATGGTTTGTGCTTGATTTTTTATCTCATATGTTAGAACCAAATCAATGAAAAGAAGTTAGATTTGACTTGTCAAAAACAGCCATAATTTTGAAGGAAAGTGAACTTGTTATCCAATTTGAGGTAGAGATCTTCCATGATGACCTTCTTATGCTTGATTTTGGATCATCTCATGTTTTGGCTTGACATCAATCCAGATCCTTAAATCAAGATTGTCTGTCCTTCCCCATACAGCATTAAACAGATAACTACAATTCCCAAATCGCATACCTTATGGATGGATGTGAATGAAGGCACACAACTAGTCTTCCAACAAGAGAGATGAAGAGTCCAAATTTATTAGTTGTATTCATATTGAAGTTCACTGAGTCTTAATATTTTTAGTATATTTTAGAATATGCATTATGTTGGAAATGTTAATAAGCCTTCAACTCTCATAAATAGCCATATAGCATAAATAGATTGGAGTCATTGTTGAATTATATGTGATGGCACAAGGAGCAGGTTGCATAAAATCAGAGTTCACAAATTGACACATATTGTCTAGCTTCCAGGCCATATTTTGGGTCAAATTCGCTGTTTTCTATCATATTACATCAACTTGTTTTTCTTTACATTACAGTAATGTACGTCTTAATGGAGAACTTGCAATATTAGTTGATTGATAATCCTATCAATTCCATATATAGTATAGATTTATCAATTACCAAATAAATTAAAAATTTATAGGTAGCATGTCACAATGTTGTTTAAGCTAAACTACATCTCCTTGCAGAAATTGGACATGCAGCTACTGCCGTGTAGAGCAGGTATTATCAATAATGCCTTGTATCATGCTTTATGATATTGCATTATTCATTTTACATTTTCATCATTTCCAGGAAGCGTCTTTGGGTAGTGATGCTGTATTCATTTGGTGAATTTTGTTGTTGACAATTTTTAGTTAGTCCAAACCATGCAATTCTTTGTTTGATTATGTGGAAATGAGCAACTAATTGTAGAACCTGTCATGCCTTGAAGTATCTTTACAAATATTCAAGGACAGACATGCAATACAATCGTTGTACAGTTATTATTATTACTTTTTTTGACAAAATGTGCACTGTGCATAAGATGCCACATCTATCTCGTCTGCACAACCATCAATTTTAGGTATTGGTTTTTAAATCCTTATTCAGCTTGCCTTGTGAAGGCAGCTTAATGAATTTCATAAAATGGAATTTTCAGGTCAATAAGTAATACTTGGTTGTCTTATTACTATACAGCCAAGAGTACTAATATAACAGCTGGTAAAATTCTGGAATATATTTTGTAATGTTGGATTGATTCTTCTTCTAGAACGCTGAGAAAGTGATTATTTATAGCACTTTCTAAAACGTTGATTATCTTTCTCTGCATAAGTTGGACTGTTCCAACCACTTTTTTCCTACACTGTATGAGCTTTTACCATGTTTCATGTTCTCTTTCCATTTTTGTTGATGCCTCTGTTGGCTGCTGCCTTTCGGATTCTAATGATTTGACCTCTTCATTTTGACTATAAATTATTTTGTTGATGACTTATATGCAGCCACCTCGATCAAAGCATTGTCATGATTGTGACAAATGTATTCTTCAGTTCGATCATCATTGTGTTTGGCTTGGAAATTGCATTGGCCAGAATAATCATTGTCAATTTTGGTGAGTTTGTCATGTTGAGATATATAACTCTCCATTCGCACTTCGTCATCAAGTTTGACTGAAGGAAAATTATGGGAATTATTTAAGTGGTTTTGAGATCAGAAATTTAATCTAGAATGAGTTTAAATCTGGATGATTTTATTGATAATTTACGATCTGTGGATGAAGAACTAGTGGTGTGGGAAATGCTAGAGCCTTGCAGCAAAAAAATTGTCAGAAAAATGTATTTGTTTATTTCATATCCACAATGAAATTTGTTGCTGAGGATGCAATTTGGACTTAAGATTATTTTTTTAATATTTTGTATGAGATGCACCAGTATAAAGTGTGCTGTATGGGCTGGGACATGTATACGAAAACTAAGTATGTTGTCTTTTCATGTTAATGTGGTGTGAAGTCAATTTCTTTCTCTCCATGAAATCTATTGCGCCATTCTGTGAGTTGCTTTTTTTGTAGTCTCATATGTATCTTAGTACAAATATATTTCTCTCTCTAAGAGACGACCTGTTCTGTTAAAACAATTTAGGTGGTACCTTTGCGATGAGACAGCACTGTGCCTCTGGACTGCTATATTGTATATTTCATACCTGAAGGCTCACATCACGAGGAGTTGGTACTGTATCTTTTGAGCTATTTTATGAAGAAGTTGAAATTCATATAAGTTCATTTTGATGCAAATTATGCAAAATACTTGTTCGCTAGAGTCCTTCCTTTTGAAAAGAGTGAAAATGGGAGATAAAAGATCAGTCTGAATTAATTAATATTTCTGTTGATATATCTTTTGTTTACCCGTCATTAGACCTTGGGGCGGGGGGGGGGAAGCTGAATTCATGTAGTTTGTGTTTATCTGTAAATGAACTGAGATCCTAACCTTATGATGCTGTCAGGTGGAAGGATGCAATCATAATACTGCTCTTAATCACGTTGTTCATTTCTCTCATCTTCTTGGTTCTTCTACTGCTATTTCATAGGTAACAGACATGATTTATTTGATACTATATTTCCATATTCTACATCAGATTGGTTTTTTATACGTCTTTGTTCCAGTTCCTTACCTGTGAAGTTCTGATCCGTTTTTCAGAGTTATTGCTTTTAATGATTTTTTGCTTTCGTTTTATGTCTGGGGTGTTGGATAGTAAATATGCTGAATCGATAATGGGCATGCTTTGTTATGTTTAGCATGTGTCCTATTTCATATGTGGTTTGCTATGATTGTGTAATTAATAGGATGTTATTCTGTAATTACGAGTCTTCAATGTCATGTCTTGTATCATTCTCAAGTCAGAATTTACTACCTACATTTCTTCTAGGGTTTCCCCTCTTTCTTCATACGGAGCAATGTAGGGAGTTTTGTTATTGATTCAGGATAGCTTATTTACAATGTTTTAGCATATGGAAATGTGTCCATTTCCACTGCACACCTACTGATTAATGTCTAACCTGCTTTCTCAGTCCACTTTCAATTTGTTATAAATTTACTTGATCTCTACATCTTTTTCTATTTCTCATTCATTAACTGATGTAGGGCTAGGGAGAGGGAGAGGGAGAAAGGGGCGAGAATAGAAATTTAGCGGGAGAAGAGAGGAATTGAGGGAGTGGCTGTACTTGATATTATTCAATTCATAAAAAATATTTGACATCAAAATAACCCTAAGGCTGTTTAGAGAGCCCCAAGTAGTAGTAATAACTAATGATGCTAAACTTAATCTGGTTTTAGAAGATATGATAACAGATAGATCATAATAAATTCTAAAGGACAAGATGATAGCTAACTAAATCTGAAAGATAATCTAAATATCCTGAGCAATAACTTTAGTTAAAATCTTAATTACCTTAAAACAAAGATAAAATAACATCCCATTTCCCATTAGTAACCTTAATAAAGGTGACGAAGTCTTGGTATCTGGAAACTGAGTATTATGTCGAAACCATCACTTTTTATCATTGGCCAAAAAGGAACTACGCTTTATCACCTGCCTAAAGGAGTCATACATAAATAATCAGTTGTTTACTTTAAAATTCAATTCATGATGCTTCAAATGTTTGCTAGGAATTTGATATGAAAAAGAAGAGAAATGAACGGAGAAAGGAAGAAAGAGAATTGGATTAAAAGAGTCTTTCATTGAACATGCTTCAAACCCTTGATCCCTACCCCACAAGCCACCCCAGCCTCTTTTGATTACTTGCTTGTGCTTTTTTATTGCTGTCTACAATTCCATTGATGAATGTCTTCATTCACCAAGATATATGTTCTCCCCACCCCTAGTTCTTCCTGTCTTCTGTTTTCCCTCATCTCTCCCTCCCTCCCATTTCTGTTCTTTGGTGCTGCATCAGAAATTCTTCCCTGCTTGGCTTTCCACCTATATGGGATATAAAAGGATGAATTAGAAAAACGTTCTGACTGAATCGTGTTTCAAAAATGAATGGAAATCATAACGACTTAGTTCACACGGTAATAAATTGGCATCTACCCGGTTCACACTGTTGTGGAATTGACTATGCTCATAACACTTAACAGACAAGATGGTAATTCTCTCAGAAATTTCTCATTCAATATTTTTACAACATCCTTCTTCCCAGGAGACTCTTGAAACAGGAAAGACAGTTGAGAAAGTTATAGTTGGAATGCAGCTGTCGCAACAGACTTTGAGCCACTGACTTTTTACTCGCTAACTAACCTTTAAGGCTCTAACTATGATTTATTACATGTATCAATTTTTTTCTGCCAATTATGCCTTTATATAGTAAAGTATCTATGAAAATGAGTGTGTAAGACAGCAAGCGTACTGCTGATGTTTTTTGTCCTTTTCCACAGCTATCTTATTCTGACAAATCAGACTACTTATGAACTTGTGAGAAGGAGGAGAATTTCTTATCTGAGGTTTGATAGCTTCCTTAATGTGTTTCTTCTAACTCATTATAAAATTTAATCATGTAAAGGCAAAAATTGAAGGACTATGCTCCCCTCTCTTTTTCAGTGTAATTTATTGTATGAGTTAGATGTATCTAATATCTTGATGTTAGTTTTTTTTTTCTTGGCCGAAAGATGTTAAATAGTTAGGTGCTTCCTTGCCTGGGATAGATCTGGTAAACATGTTTTGTTTTTTCCCGACTACAGGGGGATTCCAGAAAGAGTGTATCCATTTAGTAAGGGAATTAGTCGAAATTTATACAACTTCTGCTGTGCAAGGAGAAGCGTGTACAGTTTGGAAGCACTGCCTAGTCCTCAAGAGATAGAGGAAAAGTCAATGCCTTACACGTGCAAGGATGTTGTAACCTGTCGTTGTTGCTGAAAATGCAATTGTTGTTGTGCTAGAAGAATAATTCCCTGAAGAGGTTTTCATTTTGTGCTCGGATAGATATAATTCAATGCGTAGGTCTGCTTAGAGAACGTATTTACTTACGCTGTTGGCACTAGGATCACCTATTTCTTTTTCTGCTCTTGCCCATTCTTTCCCTCATATTTGGTAGGAGGTTGTTGTTTTTAGGTTTAATGCATGGGTACAGTGCCACTGTATCCGTGGGTGTGGATGAGATAAATTCCGCTCGGTTTTGGATTGCTGTCCCGGATATATCGTTATTTTTAGGCGGGAAAATGACACTTGCAGACCCTGTTCGGGGATTAATGATAATTGCAGACCCTAATTTTTAAAATCTTATGAAAGGACCACGGTATTTTGTTGCAATTAAAAATTATTTCATTATATTAAAGATTTACAAGTGATTAATGACTTTCTAAAGATTCACAACTTGTTATTTATAATTTTACAAGTGAACATACAAATTGAAAATTAACAATCTCAATATATATTCATAAGTAATTATCTTGATATTTAAAAATTAAAGTGTGACTATCTATAAAGTGATTATAGTATATAAGTTCACATTAATTTTTCAAAAATTCCTAAATGATTATTTATAGAAATTTTTTTATATAGATTTAGTATATCATGTCATTTGTATATTATATAATAAAAACATGATGTGTCAAATGTATATAATAAAATGTCTCACTCCTCATTTATGTTACAGTAAATTATTTTAAATTTTTATATCTTTTTTAAGTTATGATGACAGTAAAGGGAAAAAAGATAATAAATTAAAGATTTCCAAACAAAATCATTCAAAATAATGGCACGCAAGATTTTATAGAGGATGAGAGCCCACAACTTTACCACAATAATGGCACTCTGACGATGACCCCAAAATTAAGTTTAGGGGAAGGGGATAATTAATGATTATTTTCATTATTTATTTCCTTCTCCTCGCTCACTGGAACAGAGTGATTGCCCAACAATGATTGTTTGCACGGGGCAAAACAATAAGAATCTGAATTGCTAGATTCAATTTGTTCAAGCAAGCCACATAAATCGAAGCTAATTATTTATACCCGGCCAATGCTTTCAGAATTGGCTTGGACAAGTTTTCTAGAATGTAGGCTACTTAAGCCTTGTTTAATTAAGTCCTCCACCGGTTTTTCATGCATTGCTCATCAGTTCGCAACGAGAAGGAAAGATATGTAGCACTTACGAATCATTTCACCGGATGGAACTATATATCTACAAAGGAGAATTTACAATTGCATCAAATCACAAATATTTTTCTGTGAACTTGGACAATCTTAACGTAGTTGATTCCCATCCTGTAATTATAAGCAATACATGTACGGCCTTGTTGAGCCCAAAGTTTATAACTACGAACTCTTCCTCATGGCGAAACTATATTCAAGAAAGACACCCTATTATTGATGAGATGCTTAAACAAACGCCCCAAACCATTCTCAAGCCTGTCAATTCCCGCCACTAAATCCTCCAGCCTGCTGTTGGCATATTGGATCTTCTGAGCCTCATCGGCATCTTGGGTTGGAGAGTTCATGACCAAGCTACTAATGGCAAAATCCACCTTCTCCAGCTCATTTATACTGCCCTCTTGATTGTCGCTCCCAAGTGCTCCTTTCTGTATCAATCTCGACAGCAACGCCCACCTGTTATTGGGCTTTGATTTCAAGACTGGGGAAGAGAGGAAGGCCAGGAGAGAATAAAAGACGGAGCTGGTGACGAGGCTCGCTTCCGTGAGAACTCGAACAACTGCGGAGAGGTGAGCGTTTAGATCCAATGGGAGAAAAGTTTCAAACGACGCATCAATTTGTTTCAACAAGAGAATAGATTTTGTGGAATTCTTCCGGGCGTTCTTCCTGAGATTCCAATAGGCAGAGACGAGAGCATCCATGACGCCGGAATCTCCGAGCTTCCTCCTTCTGAGAGCGGATTGAAGACGCCGGACGCCTTCTTCCATGGACAAAATGGAATCCCTAGTGCAGCCGAGAACGTCCAAGAATCGGACGGGACAGTCCAACAAGTGATCGATCCATTTCTGACGGTGATGCTGAGACAAAGCTTGATGGGTGAGGGGCAATTGGAGAAGGTTGTCGATGGATTGGTACAAGTCGGCGAGGGCGGACAAAGCGGAGCAGATGTTGTGGACGGAGGGGGGAGGAGGAGGAGAGAGAGAAGATTGGAGGGAGTGGAGGAGGCGTTCGACAAGAAGGGTGGTGGGATGAGATCTGGGAGGCAAGCTAATGGATCGAAGCTTGAATTTAGAAGGAAGCTTCGGGGAAAAGGGAGCCATTAATGCTGCAGGCGTTGGGATATTTCATGGAGGGAGGAGGAGCTTAGGAGGAGCAGAAGGAGAAGACGACGAGCATCCGCAGGCCGTCGCCAAACGCCAATTACCGATTTTTATAGAATAAAACATGACGTCCATGCAAACAAATAAACCAATAATAATGTGAAAGGAAGCTATCTATTTTGCCTTGGTCTGGTGGCTCTAAAATTATGGGGGAAAAAAAAAAATACTTTTTCACCTTTTAAATTTAATTTCATTGCGAATTTCTCTAATTAACTTTTCATTGAAGGTTAAAAAGAGGAGATATGAAAGTTAAAAAATTATTAAATTTTGTTGGCAATGCCTAGTAAATATAAATAGAATCATAGAAATATGTGACAGAGAGTAAAAGGATGGAGCTATGCTTAGTGATTTTCCCAAACTAGTAAGCATGGTGCGATGAGGAGGAGGGCTATGTGAGCATTATGGAGGTTGATCTGTGAATGGGAAAAGGAGGACGTCAGGGTTTAATGAATAGGAGGCAAATGGCATTGGCGAGCCATTTCCCTTTGTTCCAGTCTCTCTCACCCCCACCGTCATCCTGAAAGCTTGACAGGTGACCCCCTCACTGTCCCACATTCAAACAACTATTCCAAACTCTCTCTCCTCCATCAAAACCACATTCTCTCTCTCTCCCATTTCATTCCTTGCTCCCTCAACTTTGTCACGTTATGATTTCTTTTCTTTTCTTTTTTTTTTTTTTTGAAGTTTAACCAAAATCTACGAACTAGGATGTTGCCATCTCAACTCCCGATTAAAATTTATTTTGTTATTTGTCTCAAACCTCCGTGCCTTCTCCAAGATAGAGTTTGGTGTCATTGCTCATAACTAAACTAATTATTACTCCTTTTTTTTCCCCTTTTGTTTGGTTTGTTGGAAGGGGTTGGAATGTTGGAACGACGCCAAAGCCGAATGTAGTTGTGGCAAAGCACCACCTTACTTTATTGCTTTAATTTAATTCTCTCCCGCGCCTTCTCTATTCTCAATCTATCATCGCATCTCTTTATCGCCCCCCCCCCCCCCCTTTTTTTTTAATTAGATCCTTCTGCTCGGGTTTTTGTCCCTTCCGGCTTTTTCCTCTCTTTCTTTCTTGCCTCAACTCTCCATTTGTCTTCAACTATTATTCCCTTTATCCTAAATTTATGAGACATTTTTCAATAAATTCAGCATTTTAAGATATAAAAAATTTTCATAATTTTATTTATGATATTTTTTTAATATTATCACTCACATTATATTCTGTTTTTGTCATGCTACTTTATAAATAGAATATCAAATGAAAGGCATTTTAAAAAATTATTATTTTATTTTTTAAAAAAAATTATAAAATATATTTAATGAGCTTTCTTTAAAAAAAAAATCTTACAAGTTGTGACAAAAAGATTATTTACCTAAATAATTAATATATTTTGTCACCCATAGCCTTTATAATATGGTTTTCTTATAAACCGTGCTTTATGATATTAATATTTTAATTATTTATTTTATTATGAAAAGGCCCCGAGGCTGTCGACCCAAGAAATTTGAACGGCAACCAAAGTATTAGCATCAACTTGAATTTAATATATTTTTTATATGTAAAAAGTGAAGCTGATGTTCGCATATAGTGTGATATAGATTCTAAATTTTAGTGAATTCTTTTATGTATACTTTTTTAAAATAAGAAATGAATTTTAATTGAGAAATCAGAACTCGCCCGCACAAACATAAAGGAATATATTGTATGCGACTCAAAAATGCAAATCAGGGATTTAAAGGGAATGGCAGCTACTTAGATCCCAAAATTTTAATTTAATAATAAGGTTTATAAAGATCTGTTTAAAATAGTTACAAATACAGAAATATTGATAGTAAATTAAGCACTTCAAAATTATATGTCACCTTCAATTATTTGAAAAATGAAAACTTCTGAATTTGTAACTATTTAAATCAGTATTTAGGATTCGTTTTTTAACAATTTTTTTGTACTTAACTTTTATTAAACAAAGCTTTTAAGACTTAAATTCCATTTCTTCTAATTTAAACAATGGGGAGTCCAATATATTAGCTCAACAAATGTAATAATAATAAACATTATCGTATAAGATTTTTTTTTTTTAAACAAAAAAAGAGGAGGAGTTTGCCGTGTTCCTTGGCCAAGAATAGGAATGGGGGGAAAGGGAAAAACCGCATCTAGGAATCACTAAAGTTCATTATTTGCCCAAAAAAAAAAATCAATCAATGAATTCTAAAATTGCTCCATAAAGTCAATGGGCTTAAATGTAGTTTAGGTTTTTTTGGTCTTGCAGAAAAAATCCAAAATTATTTAGTTGTTTAACGTAATCAATGAGTTTCAGTGGCATCTAGACGAAATTAAGTGCATTGGGCGTCTTGGCTTGGAGTCGGAGTAGTTGTATTTGGCGGATACGTACGCGGGAAAGTCAAAGTCAAACGTCCCTCTCAAGTTTTTGTCGGGCAGCCCTCCCCCAGCGGTTGTCAAGTCACGTACTCTCTCCATAAAGGAGATACTCTTAATCGAATTACCTAAATTGATAAAAATTAATTATTTAATTAAAAGAACAGTAATATTTTATTTTTATTTTTAATTATTGTAAATGCAACGTAAATCTTTTTAAAAAATAAATTAATAAAAATATTTATATTTTTTTAATTTAATAAAGATATAATAATCTGTTTATTAAAAAATATGTTAATAATTTTTTATATTTAAAAATAAAAAGAGATTTTTTAAAAAAATTATATATAAGGAGGGAGGGAATATATTTTCCGTCTTCATTAAACCTTCTCTATTTGTTTTAAGCTCCGAAGATTGATTCTGCACCCATTTTTAATTGCACCTACAGATTCATGGGCTTGACTTGACCAGGATGTTGATATTATGAATTGCTGTAGCTAAACATGTAAAGCTGTCTCCGCATCATGCTGCTTCGTCCACTGAATGAAAAACCAAGCCATGAATAAGCCACGACCCATAGCCAATCATCTACTTTGCTTGGAGTCAAAGCAAAGTGCAACGGAGGCCCCCAATTACTTGCACGCTGACACCTGTCCTTTTCATCACATTAAATTTAAAACCAAGCCCATTGCACGAAGCCCACTCCATACCATGCTCCCCTCATCTCCAGGAAAAATATCATTTCCCTCACACCACAAACTAATACTCAATGTGGTTAAGTGGGTGGAAGCAAGGCGAGAAAAATAAGGGTATATAGTTCGAAATTAAGGCTGTGTGGAAGGTGTTGAAGACTTGGCCCAAAAAAGAAGAAGAAGAAGAAGGTGTTGGAGATTGTCGCGACTTTCTTCTCTCGGTGCTTTCAACTTCTCTACTTCATGTGATTTTTTTTTCCTGCCCCCTCTCTGACATATATTCCCTCCTATCTTTGCCTACTAATCCTTCATCCTTCCCACGCCTCTTCTTCCTTACTTCTAGATTTTCTGTGTCATTGCTCTGTTGCTACTGCTTTGTATTTACCTAATTTTTCCGAGAACTGTATTGGAACCTCAGTTACTTGACAGAAACATTTTGTAGTATTACTTTATCCAGTTATTTAGTTTCAGCATTTGCACAAAAACCATGACAGGGAGAAACAACCTACCCATTTCTCATTCCCACCTTTTTAGCCTGCGTGATGAGAAATCTGGGTGATATTGACTTCATCTTTGACCTGGCGGCCAAGAGTTATCATAATCAATATTGATTTTGATTATTCAAGGCCACTGGGTTAACTTGGGCTCTCAGAATTTGTAATTATAGTACAAAGAAAGGGATTACCAATGATTGTTGGGTTCAAATTTGACATCCGTGAATGCAATGTTACATTGTTTTCTTCCGTTTCCTTTGGCCTAAGTGAAATCACTGGTCTTTGATTGTCAATTTTCAACCATAATTAATTGAGAAAAAGAAGAACAAAACTGAACTCTTCATGTTGGAACATTCGGTCAAATGCTCTCAAAACATGGATTGATTTATGAGGGACCAAAATCCTTCTAAAATTCGGACTGCATGATCACTCCCTAAGTTTTACAAGGCATTGATATAAGAATCCCCGTCTCTTTGATTTAATGAGACGGCATATTCAGAAAACACACTCTGTGTTTTACTAGACGTCTATACGTGCAATCCAATCCGCCCTCAATACCACTCATGGTAGCAATCAATGCCTCCAAAACCCTTTGTGCTTCGCTGTTTCTTCCTTTTCCAACGAGGGAACACAGGGCCGCTACATTCGCTTCTGTCGGTTCCTTCTCCGATGAAAATAGTCTGGTGGGCTTTAACTTTGAGATCAAGGAGGATCCTTTCGTTTTTAGCCTCGGTGTCGACAAGAACAGGAGAAGAGAACGCAATACAGATATGGTGACGGTGCTTGCTTCTTTCAGAACTCGAGCCAGACATATCAGATTCTGGTCTTGACCCATCACAAAAAAGGGTCTAACTTTGATCTCCATTCGCTTCAATGCTCCGAGTTGTTTCGCAATCTCCTTCTTTGCCTTCTTCCTGAAGCTCGCATAAGCAGATATGCTGCCTTCAACAGTAGAATCCCCCTGTCTTCTCCTTAGAGCAGACTGAAGCGTTTGTAAATGTTCCCGGAGACCCAATAATAACTCCCTTGCAGCCCCACACGCATCTAACAATGTGACTGACCCACACAGTGCCTCTTCTACCATTTTCCCTTGTTGGTATTTCAGAAGAGCTTGTTGGGTTTGGGAAGATTGGAGGAGTTCCTCCATGCAACTGTACAATTCTGCAAGAACAAATAGATGAATCTGAATCGTCTCTGCTTCCAAATTGCTTGAAATAGATCTCTCCTGACTTGGTTTCAAGTGGTTCAAAAGTGCTTGAACTCTCTGGGATGATGGATGTATTCTGGTGGGCAAACTAATGGACCTAACTAGCTGAAGGGCGGAGGGCATTGTGGAAGTGGGTTCCATGTTTTTCTGTGCTACCGATAGAAAGTTGCTACAAATGGCTGAAATGACAGTGGTGATTCGGTCTACATATATAGGGGGAACATGTGATGGACCAAGGAGAATTTAAACTGTGCCACTTTTGTGCCTGCCAACTATTTGGTGCAATGTACATGTGAAGGTAATGCGGGTCTCCCTCAGTTTCTGGTGGCTTTGTAACATCTTCAGCCAGCAATCTGCTAGCTTTAGTCTTTTTATTAATCCCATAGCCATAAGATGGGAGTACCAGAGAACTGGTTGAGAAAAGGTTTGGTGAACATACTGAGAACGTGAACAATGGATACAGCGCATTGCTAGTATATGCTTTCTTGCTTCCCCTCATTATCCACCAATAATTCCATTTTCTCAACCATAACTCAATAGTATAACATATCCTTAAATGGTCATGTGTATAATTGATTTTTTTTTTTAATCATGATAGCTGCTAAAAATACCAATTTATGTCTTACTTCATTCGAATGATTTGGGATTTAAATAGTCCTGGCTAGCTCAAACATTGTATGGGTTATAGCCAAAAGTTTACATCACAAGCCAGGAATCTAGGCTTGGTTCAGAGTTATTAAGGGGACAACTGAACAATGTTCAGCTCAAGTTGCTATTTTTTCTGGGTAAGTGGCTGCGTAATGTGAATAATGAAAACCATAAGGTGTCGTGATGGCAGTGCGTTCGCTGTTATTGGGGAGACAAGGCAGCAATCGATACAGTGAAGCATCTACCTTGGGACTTGTTTTGTTAGCTTTACAAAAGCATTACAGAATAGATGTTCTGTTACTTGGGTTGGATGGCTGACTTGTGCCAAGGCAGAGGTTACTGAAGGAAACAACTCAAGAGGGACAGGATCATGCACTGGAATCAGATGATTATTGTAGGTGAGAAGTCGATTCTCCTTGTCTGCTGCAATTTTCTGCACGCATATGTACGTTAAAACCACATAATGGTTCAAAATCAATGTACCTAAGAACAACGGATTAAGATTAGAAAGAGTAAAAAGTTAAGCTTGTTTCCTATATTGAATAAAATAGTATCTTGTGCACCCCCATCAAGTTGTACTGCCATATTACTTGAGATTATGTAAATTTGTTTTTGGTTTGCATGTTATACATGTTTTCTTGGCTGCTTATGCTACCGTCACCAATTAATGACCAGATTTGCCAAAATTGATGCATTTTCTTCGTTAGCCAATGAATCCAAAAGATGTCAAGTTAAGATAAACTTCACGGGACACAATGATGTTAATTATTAGGTAATTGCAAGCCAGAGAGAGATCGTTGTATTGTTCTGCAGTGTGCAATGTATTGCTGAGATAAGAGTGCCGTTTTTGCAGAGTGCACGAGACTGTATTGTCCAAGAACGGAAGCACCATCGTCATCTCCATATGCTGCTTTATGAACATCACATGCTGCCGACTTATTTTAGATAGAGACAAAATCTGTGGCAGAGAATGGGCGCGAGCTAGTCGGCTCCCATGGCTGCAAGTAGTTCATCTGAATAATAGGCTTACGCAGAAATTCAGGTCCTCTGTTGCCAGGCATTTTTCCTTCAGGTTTGATTGCTGATATTATACAGTACTAATACTGGTGCTTAAAATCTGTTTCATTTGGTGGACCCCGAGATGTAAACTAAGTGCAATGATAATATGTTCATCTAAGGCCGGATCTAGAAAGGTAAAGGAACATCGGGAATGATAGCATGTGTAGAAGTCAGAGGCTTCCTGTCATCGGGAATAAATAAATAAACAAGTTATGAAATTAATAAGAAAGTGATTCAGCAGCAGAGGAGAAAAATTGGCAAAGCTGCAGCTCACGAGGCATTAATTAATCATAATATAATATTTCATTTGAGGGTGCTGTCCAGTCACCCGCACCACAAGGAGAGACCCTATCCTCGTTGAGGGTGCTTTCGTAATTTCATCCTCATTTTGTGCTTTTCTTGGGCCAAACATTTGGGCCAGTCAAGAGCGCTTGTTTGGGCTCAAAGACCAATCAGAAGGATCCACAATCAGAAGTTCGGGTCCTTTATGAGTCTTCCATTTTGTTCATGTTCGCTGCAATTTATATTTTTAATTTGATAGAATTCAATTGTGCATGTCTTCCTAATGAGAAGATAAGGAGGAATTTAGAACAAAACACAGGTGGCCCACACAATGCGTGCCAATCTGGAATGAGTAACTTACATTTTATATGATCATGATCTCTTGCTAATGTTCATAATATATTATGAGATTTTATTTCCCACTTTGACCAAAGTTTAACTCTCACTAAATTCTATTCTCAATTCAATCGATCGTTCCTTATTTCACCGAGATACCACCCGTATCTCTCTCTCTCGGTGGACAGTTTAGATTTAGATTTTACAATATTTTTTTATATTTTAACAATATTTTAATTTTAAGAATGTGGAGTAAAAATATTCTATTAGCTGTTAATAAAGAAAAAGTTGTTTATAATAGAAACAAAATAAAATGGAGATAAAAATTATAGCCCATCGAAATTTTCATTTCTAGCCATGACTTTCCCGATTTACTTTGCTTATGCGTTTTTAGTTGTTATTTTTAATGTAGACGTAAGTCAATGATACTAATCCAGACACATCATGGAGCTTATATTGATTAAAGAAATTAATCAATGAAACCAAATTCTATACAACCTTTTTTGGACGCCATTTCAATTATAGGATTAGGATACATATGTATTTGGCTATTATAACCCTGCACCTTCACTAACTATTTTTTATTTTTAAACAGGGAGCAATTCACAAGCTGCGTTATATTATGATCGGGATTCAATCTTTTATTCCTAGATGCTCTTACTTTGTTCGTTCGTTTTTTTTTCTTTTGGTTGGTCAACTTTTTTCCCGTCTGGTGAACGTCAAAAGGGCCGACCATTTCAGGAGTTGTTATTCTGATCCATACATATACTATTAACTCTTCATATTTTCTTTACCGAAAATTAAACTCTTCATCTTTTCAATGGGATCACCGGATCAACCCATACATCGAATGGCCCAATAGTCATCATCTTCATGAAAAATAAAAGCTCGGGTGGGCGACCTTGGCCCACTAAAGAACATTGCCTTTGCTGATTTGTTAAACCAGTCAAAGATAAACGTTACTAGTGACAATGATTGGAATTGGAATTTACACGAGCATCTTTTGCCTGGAGATATTTGTCTCAAGATTGCAGCCATACCAATCCCTCTATATATGAGGAACCATACCAGCAATAGTGAATTTACGGTTGCTTCAGCTTATAAAGCTCGGTTGGAAGTTGAGTGGAACGCATGTGGTAAATCTTGGGACCGAATTAGGAGATGGCCGGGTGCCCAACGGGTTCGGTCTTTCCTCGGGTTAGCTGCAAAGAATAGACCATTGATCAACAGGGAAAGGTGTTAGAGAGGATTCACTGATGATGACTCATGCAGAGCTATTGCAATCAGAGTCCGGAAGATTTGGACCATACATGTTGTGAGGTTCTAGCCTTTGGCACAACTCACTTGGCTCCAGCTACTTCAACCCGATGAGTACGATGAATTCCATTGCTGGATAATATCAATCCTTCGACGAAATCCTTGGACTGGCAGCTCACTTTTGGTCTGATCTCATGCGTTGGAAGATTTGAGAAGCAAGAAACAAACGTAGTTTTGTTTGTATTTCGCACCCACAAGGCCACACTATCGATTTTGCATGATCGGACCGAGCACTCTTAGTCAATTTGGCTTAGTTTGTATTTCTTTAGATCCCCATTATTTTCAGGTTTTATCTGGCTCTTTTGTCTGTTAACTTTATCTGATTGAATTAATATTCCCTTTCGTTGGAAAAAAAAGAAATTATAAAAGCTCGAATCTGATTCAAATCATGGACGAAACCCATCGCAGTTATCAAAGGAAAAGGCTCCATCTATATATTTTTCTCTGATGTGTATAAGGCATGCTAATCAATGGTTCCCCTGATTCGAAAGAAGGTTCTGGCGGAGTGGTGGTTTTTTATTATAATTGGGAACAGGATTCTTGGTAACGGCACGTTTGGATCAGTTCAAGCCCAAACATAAAATTGTTTGACCTGTAGTTTGCTCCATGAAATCAACATGCTGATTGACATTATTCAGTAGATTGAGAATATTCAGCATACAGCATTCCAGAAGGTGATGTTTATTATTTTATAGGAATTTATAGGACATTTGTAGTCGTAGACAGAGAAGTTCATGAGAAGAAAGCCCTCTCTGACTTACTAGGAAGCAGCAAGCAGTAATCAGGCAAAAGGCTTTTGGTTGTAGCAGTCCAAGTTGTTGCCGTAGCCGAGTCCCATAATATCACAGTACCTCTTGTAAAAACCTATCCTGTCCGCCACCCTGTTGTCCTGGCCGTGGCCGCACTCCAGCCCGCCGTTTATGATGTTGGTGATCACACCGTAACCGGGCACTCTCCCCGCTGACGTGTCGGCGGCGGATGGCGTCCACCTGTTGATGATCACGTCATGGCTCGAAGGCTTGTTGCCCTGCGCCGTCATCCAGAACCATATGGCTGTCTTGAAAGATATCACCGCGTCTGTGGCCACCAGATCCGGGTTTCTCACCAAGTCCACTCCTATCGCCTTTCCAGCTTGCTCGTAGTTGTAGTTGCTGCGTCAAATTCAACTTCACACAAGTTAACACTCCATGAGCTTGCTAGATAGGTAGTTTATGTATATGGGAGAGAGTGAGTAGTAATTAGTCATTACTGTGTCAGTTGAATGGGTCCGCGGCCATAATATCCGGAGCTGGCAGTGTTGGAGCCCTCCCTGACATAGCAATAGCCCCAAGCATAGCGACCGTCGGGTGCACTGTCCCATCCTCCGGTCGTCTCGTGCGACGTCTGTCCGAAGAAAGCGGCGAGTTCCCTCTTGCGGGTGGCGTCGTTGCCTGTGGTGCCGAACCCCGGGAACGACCTGGCCGCCGTTAAGAAAGCGTTGTAGCTGTAGAATCCCTTCCCCTGGCACGCGGCGTCGTTGCGGTGCTTCAGCATTTGCTCAAAGACGGGAGAGGTAATGATGGTGGCGACATCGCCTCCGCCGGCTGGAGAGGGGGTGGGGTTGGGTTTTGGGGTAGGACCGCTGCATTGGCTCTGGCAGTTGTTGGAGCAGTAATCGTTGGTGCTGCCGCACCAGCCGTATTGGCTGCAGCAGAGGCCGTTGGGGCATAGGGCTCCGCCGGCTTGCTTTCCGCACTGTTCAGCGGAGGCTCTTAGCATCGCTAAGGCTAAGGCTAAGGCAAACACTTGCATATTTCTAGCCACCTTCATCCTTGCTTTTGTCATACCGCAGGAGTGATGTGATATTATGAGCCATTGCAGTGCTCTATTTATAATAGAGAGTCTTCGTCTATTTGCTTTCTAATTTCTTCTCCTGACTTTCCCAGTTGGTCAAAATGGACTGCTTGAATTTTCTGTCATCATCAAATTCCAGACCTGTCCTTCTAATAATGCAGGGACCACAGAGTCTCGCTTTCCCACTTCATATGTAATTACGTATACTGCCTTCTCAATCGTACTCCATATTGCGTTAAGTTCATTGGTTTTGTTTCCCAAAATTATCCGTTGTAACGAGTTTATACAAAGAATAATGAGCATGTTGATTGTGTGATACATTTGTTAATTAGATATGTATGAGATCCGCGTACACATTAATTGCATGAAATTTACAAGGCAAATCATGTTATGCCCATGGTTCGTCGTATATATAGACATAGTAACCGATTCTATATAGGTTATATGTATGCGGGGTAATGTATATAATGTTCACTAGATCTGATATTTTTAATAAAAAGTTGTGTAATTTAATAGTGGAACAATAAAATGTAAAACGTAACGAGACAGAACATTCAAAGATTAATTAAATGGAACAATAACTATTTACAAATAAATGAACAACGCTAATTTTCTGTGAGCGATTCTATTAAGATCGTTGCTAATTTGATACTTCTTTTGGTCTTATTTATAGAATAGAGAGAAAAAATTTTATATCCTATTTATAAGTCACATCATTAAATTTTTTTCTTTTATCCTCCATTAAATGTTGGAGAAAAAAATATATTATTAAAATATGTATATTTAATTGGGGTAAAGTTGAAAATTTATTAAATTTTATAGAGTTAATGAGTTTTAAAAATTTTTTTAATATTGATAAAATTTATTGAAAGTGATTTATAAGTAAGATTAAAAAAATATTTTCAATTTTTGACCGCCAGCACTCTCCAGGCTCAACCATCCATTTTAAATTTGTGGATGCATTATTTGGTGTAACTTGCACATAAATTTCCTTTTCAAAGATATTTGTGTAGAAATTATTTACGTAGCCGATCAGAAATTCAAAAGCAATTAACAAATATATCGAAACTGTAACATCTCAATTTAAATTTTAATAGTTAATTTGGGTTAATAGAAATTTTAAAAAATATTTAGAGGTAAATAAATTAGTAGAAAATGATTATTAAATCTAACTTAGGATATAATTCTAAAAAAAATAATAAATAAAAAGAAAAAAAATAATAAAAAAAAATATTATTAAATTATTATTATTATTATTATCAAAAAACAAAAGAAAAGGTGTAAAAACAAGAAAAGAGAAAAACAAGGAAACTTTCGGCCGACGCGCATGAACAGTAAAATAAAATAATAAAAAAAAGAAAGAAAGAAAGAAGAGAGAAAAGAATAAAAAAAATGTGTGGGACCCACTGAATTTTTATAAAACTGACCCGTTTCCCTTCATTTCTTCAATTCTTTTCCTGCGCGCGAGCTGAGGCGGAAAGAAGCGAGTTGCCGGTGTGAAATATCTAAATTTTTAAGGTAAGAGTTTTTAATAGGATATTTAGGGTGTGATTTTAAGCTTTTTAAGACTAAGTAAGTGTTCTAAAAAATTTTCTTAATCATCCTTCTTCTTTAGTTTCTGAGTTTGTAGTGGTAGAAAATTTAAGATCTGGAAGAGGGATGAATTTATGTTGAATAAATATAGTTTTTGAGGTTGTCAGTAGTATAATAAATGTTCTAGAGTATAAATTTGTTGATGATCTTTAAATCTGTGGCTTATGGATCAAATTCTAAACTAGATCTGAAAATATATGTTGATTTATTGAGGTTTAGATGATTATTTGGGATGAGAAATGAATTATTATGGTTATAGGATTATGATTCTAAGCTAGAGACTTAATTTTTAATTTTTGGGTATTTTAGGTACGAATTTATAAAATAAAAAGAAAATTTTGATAATAGAAATTAGTTTAAAATTTGATTTTTAGATTATCAATGTTTATTAATAATTAAAAGAGGAGTTAAAAATTTTACTTAATAGTATTAACTATAGATTTGTATTAAGATTGAAATTAGGAATTATATTATATTTTTAATTCTATTATTAGAATTATTTTATTAGTTTCAAAAATTGAAACTAATATTTATAAATAATATGTTATTTGTAGATTGTATTACTGGTGAACATTGTGGTGAGAGAGAAATTTTAAGGAATAATTTATTGAAAAAACCACAAGGTAACCATGCTTTTAATTTGTGATTAGTGTTACTTCATGTTAATTGGGTGATTATTGAGAAAATTATGAATTTTTGTAATATTGTATAATTGTGCAATATTATTATGAATTTGTTTAATTATTGTGGGAGGTGTTGGGAGACTTACTATTATTGTTGTATTTATGTGCCACGTGGTACGCCCCTATTGGAGCTCAATAGGTGGCTTGTAAGGGCTCGGGCTAATCTACCTTTGGCCGGGTAATTTAGCACCGAGTGAGGGCTACGGCTCGAGGTTAATAGAGGGATATAAGGATGATTGTTTGTGTTTATTATAATATTTCTTATATTTGTTGGAATTATATTATTTTTAATTCTCACTTAGTAAGCACACACTTAACTGTTTGTATACACTATCATAAATTGGCTTTGGTTACTGAGACTTTTGAGTCTCATTATGTGGTTAACAATTTTCAGGAGAAGAGCCACGAGTGACACGTGGAGGAGTCTCAGAGACTTAGTGGTATAGATCCACTGTCTCTTTTAGGTATTTAATTTATGATTTATAATGTGTTATATTGTCAATATTAGGGCTTTTTGTTTATTGTCAATTATATGAATATATAAATGTAATCATGCCTTTCAAACTATTTCTATTTTTAGTACAATTTGGATAACTGTAATTTTAATATTTGGTTTACTTTGGATTGGTTAAAATGACATGATTATAAGACCAAATAACTGGCTTGTGTTGAAAATTTATTAAATTGCTTATTTTACTTGTTGGGAGTATAAGGATGGACAAATGTGATTTAGTTTACTTGTTGGGAGTATAAGGATGGACAAATGTGATTTAGCCTAATGGCATGTGGGAGGTAAAAATTTATCTGAAATATTAATTATAAAATATTTTATATTGAAATTATTGATATAAAAATGTGTTGGGTGGCTGTAACCCAACTATGGTTGAGTTAAATTATTTAAAAAAAAAATTTTGGTGTGTTACAGAAACGGCTAACAATTTTTTAAACTCGGAGCTCAAAAAATAATTAAAAAATTGTTGTTTTATAGTTATTAAAAAAATTAACCATTTAATCCATATAATTTAACTTAATTATAATTAAATCCCTAAATTTTGATTATTTGTAACTTGATCTTTATAATTTTAATTCAACTGTAGCCCAATTTATTAATTTTGACTCTTACAACTCAATCCTTAAATTATAAAAATAAAATTATAAAAATTAAAATTATATTAAAATTTTAATCGTAATCCAATTCCTTAATTTTAACTCTTTCAACTCAATTCTTAAATTTAAAAATAAAATTATAAAGATTAAAATTACTTTTATAAAAATTAAAAGAGTTTAGTTATATAAAATATTAGTCCTAAATTTTAATATAATTTTAATTTTTATAATTTTATTTTTAAAATATATGAATCAATATTTTAAATAATTAAAACTATAGAGATTAAATTTTAAGAGTTAAAGTTAAGATATTAATTTATAGTCATCTTAAAATTATAAAGATTAAGTAACAGTGAATCAGATTTTAAGAACTAATTAGAAGTGATTCCAAATTTTAAGAATTAAAAGATTAAGGGCCTGTTTGACAATCTGTTTTAAAAATAATTTTCTGTTCTTCAAAATAAAAAAATAAAAAAATTTATTTGGTAACATGTTTTTTAACAAAAAAAAATATTATTTTAAAAAATAAAAAATAGGAACAATTTTCAAGTGTTTTAAAATTATTGTTCTGAAATAAAGGAGAATAAAAAAATATCTATTTTTATTATTTTTTTCATAACATATTTTACAAAACATTAATTTTTAAAATAATAAAATAAAAATAATTTTAAACAATCTTTAATTTTTTTATTTAATAGATATTGTAAATATCTCCTCACCAAAAGGTGAAGAAGAATTCACTTTATGCATGGATATGGTTTGATTGCTGATTCAGCGTCCACATTCAGTTAATACTCCATTAAAAATATTGCGAGAAAGTCCAAATACGCCACAGAGTCTCTTGTGTATATAACCCGATCCGGCGGTGAACCCGAGGCTACTCCCCCTGCCCAGAAATCACAATCAAGCCGCCGTTTGATTTGTTGGTGATTACTCAGTAGTCCACGTGGCTGCGATCCAACACAGGCCATGCCTGTTGAAATGTTCGGGTCGGCGGAAACGAGATCCGAGTTGTTTCCGAGATCCTTCCTCAATTTCTTTACCCGCTTTGCCCGTAAGTGTGGCAGCTGAACAAGTCAAAAAGCCAAGCTTAAGGTTACGTTTGACTATTTGAAAGAATTAGAATAAAATAAATTAAAAAAATTAAGATAAAAATAAACTAAATTGTTCCTCCATAAATATGATAAAATTGATTATTATATACCACAAATGTGGTAATTACCAAACTTTTTAAAAATATTATCAATCATAATTTTTAATTTTATAAATTAAATTATCCCTTCTTTTTATAAAAGTATTTACCTATTTTCAGTAATTATTTTATTTTTATTTTTATTTTTATTTTTTCAATTCGTTCCTTTATAGTAAACTAAAGGGACCTAAAACTTGGATCAAGTCAGTCATGGACGAGGGAAGTGATGAATCAAATGAATGTAACTAATTGAAGTGAAGTCTATTTAGCTAATCATGATAACTCAGTGGGTGGGTTTGATCAACTTTGAAGTAAAACAAGTGGGAGAGCAAGACTCGGCGTGTGAGTTGAAAAGGTCGTGGATAGGCTATTGTTACCCACCAACAGGGGCAAGGCCTATCAGAAGAGTGACGATGATCTGCATATATACTCCGTGGATCAGTGAC